CTTATTACTTTTCGACGATTTTTTGAAAAAATTAAAAAAAACATCTCTTAAGCAAAAAACAAAGAAACAACCAACGAGTTACTGATTATGAAAGCAGAGAAAATTCTCAATCGAATGAAATACTTAAAAGCATTATATTTCACAAAGTCCGAAAATGGCGATTAAAGTGTTTAAAAGTGACATTTCTCCAATTTTTGAATGCATTTTATTCAAAAGCATATCGTAAACTAAAAAGATATTTAAGATCTGATCGCATGCCATCTACAGACTGTACTTTATCGAATGGGATATGGTTAAAGGCGGAAATCTGAGAGATGAGAATTTTTATTCTTAAGAAAAAATTACACCAGGAGATTACTTGATACTTTTCTTGATTTTTGAAAATTCATATCTCTTAGAAGCTAAACGCGATAGCAACAACGAGCCTTTTGATTATGAAAGGTGGAAATTTCTCAATCGAATAAAATATAAAATAATTACTTATTTCCTGCGGTAAAAGGTCGAAATGGCGATTAAAAGTGTTAAAAGTGACATTTTCTCGAATTTTTGGTCATTTTATTCAAACGCGGAAAATATCTCGTAAACTAAAAAATTAAAGATCTGATCGCAGCAACTTAATCTACGGACTATTTTTGTATCGAATAGAATAGTTAAAACGAAATTGGAGAATAAAAATTTTTCATTCTTAGGAAAAAAATTGCGGGTAGCGATACACTTTTTCGACGATTTTTGAAAAATTCCTTATCTCTTAGAAAACTAACACTTAGCAGAGACAACCAACGAATTGCTGATTGCCGAAGATTGGAAAATTCTCCAATCAGATAAAAATTTAATGCATTACACATATCCTACAGTAAAGGTCGAAAATGGCGGTAAGTATTTAAAGTGACATTTCTCAATTTTTGGTCGTAAACGAATATCTCGTAAACTAAAAGAGATAGTAAGATCTGATCGCAGCATCTTAATCTACGGACCATTTCTATCAGAAAGAATAGTTTAAAAACGAAATTGGAAGACCATTTTACATTCTTAGAAAAAAAATTGCCAAAGGGGGTGCTTGATACTTTCGACGATTTTTGAAATTCATATCTCTTAGAAAAACTAAAAAGCAGAAACAACCAACGGTACTGATTAAGATTGGAAAATTCTCAATCAGATAAAAATATAAAGCATTTATATTTCCTACAGTAAAAGGTCGAAAATGGCGATTAAAAGTGTTTAAAAGTGACATTTCTCAATTTTTGGTCATTTTATTCAAACGCGAATATCTCGTAAACTAAAAGAGATAATTAAGATCTGATCGCAGCATCTTAATCTACGGACCATTTTCTATCAGATAGAATAGTTAAAACATTGTTTTGTATGCCAAGGGTGCTTGATACTTTCGACGATTTTTTGAAAAATTCATATCTCTTAAAACTAAAAAGCAACGAGCACGCAGGTTACTGATTATGAAAGATTGGAAAATTCTCAATCAGATAAAAATATAAAAGCATTATATTTCCTACAGTAAAAGGTCGAAAATGGCGATTAAAAGTGTTTAAAAGTGACATTTCTCAATTTTTGGTCATTTTATTCAAACGCGAATATCTCGTAAACTAAAAGGAGCAGTAAGAGATAGACAAACATCTTAATCACGAGACCAGCACTTCTATCAGATAGAATAGTTAAAACGAAATTGGAGAGATGAAATTTTTCATTCTTAAGAAAAAAAAATTACCTTAGGGGGTGCTTGATACTTTTCGACGATTTGCGAAAGTCATATCTCTTAAACTAAAAGCCAGAGCAACCAACGAGTTTGATTATGAAAAGATTGGAAAATTCTAATCAGATAAAATATAAAAATAATTATATTTCGAACGGTAAAAGGTCCACGTGATTAAAGTGTTAAAAAGTGACATTTCTCGAATTTTTGGTCATTTTATTCAAACGCGAATATCTGCGTAAACTGAAAAGAAGATATTTAAGATCTGATCGCAACGTCTTAATCTACGAACTATTCTGCAATGGGCAGGATAGTTAAACAGAAATCTGTGAGATTGAAATTTTCATTCTTAAAAAAAGTACCAGGGGAGTTAGCGTACTTTTCGTGATTTTGATAATTAATATCTCTGGAACTAAAAGCGATAGCAACCATGAAATTGCTGATTATAATAGATTGAAAAATTGTCGATCAGGTAAAAATATAAAATAATTATATTTCCTACAGTAAAGGGTCGAAAATCGCGAGTGAAAGTGCTAAAAAGTGACATTTCTCAATTTTTGCCCATTTCATTAAAACGCGAATATCTCGTAAACTAAAAGAGATAAATAAGATCTGATCGCAGCGTCTTAATGTACGGACCATTTCCTATCAGATAGGATAGTTAAAACGGAAATCTGAGAGATGAAATTTTAATTCTTAAGAAAAAATTGCTTGATACTTTTTTTCGACGATTTTTGATAATTCATATCTCTTAAACTAAAGGCGGTAGCAACTAACGAATTGCTGATTATGAAAGATTGGAAAATTGTCTATCAGATTAAAATATAAAATAATTATATTTCCTATAGTAAAGGGTCGAAAATCATGAATGATTTGCTATAAAAAGTGACATTTCTCAATTTTTTGCCCATTTTATTCCAAACGCGAATATCTCGTAAACTAAAGAGATATTTAAGATCTGATCGCAGCGTCTTAATCTACTGAATATTCTCTACTTATAAGATAGGATAGTTAAAACAGAAATCTGAGATGAAATTTTTAATTCTTCTTAGAAAAATTGCCAAAGTGCTTGATACTTTTTCGACGATTTTTGGTAGTAATATCTCTGGAACTAAGCATATATTAGCAACCATGAAGTACTGATTATAATAGATTGAAAAATTGTATCAGGTAAAAATATAAAATAATTATATTTCCTACATTAAAGGTCGAAAATCGCGGTAAAAAGTGTTAAAACGAACATTTTATTCAAACGCGAATATCACGTAAACTAAAAGGGATAATTAAGATCTGATCGCAGCGTCTTAATCTACGGACCATTTCTATTAGATGGGATAGTTAAAACGAAATCTCTAGGAGATGAAATTTTGAATTCTTAAGAAAATTGCCAAAAGGGGAGTTGCTTGATACTTCGACGATTTTTGATAATTAAAATCTCTGGAACTAAAAGCGATAGCAACCATGAAATTGCTGATTATGATAGATTGAAAAATTCTCTATCAGATAAAAATATAAAATAATTATATTTCCAACAGTAAAAAGTCAAAAAACGCGACTAAAAGTACTAATAAGTGACCTTTTGCAATTTTTGCTCGTTTTATTCAATCGCGAATATTTCGTAAACTAAAATAGATAATTAGGAACGAATCGCAGCGTCTTAGTCTACGAACTATTCTGTAAAAAATACGGTAATTGAATTGGAAATCAAACAGATAAAGTTTTAATTCAAAAAAAATGATAGTCAGCTATGCATTCATCCGCGTAAGGTGCTCGCTTCACTTTTACCGTTACCCCCTATGGTGCTCTGAACACGAGTCGCTACTACCGCTGCCCTCGTACGGTACACCGAATGAGACTCAACTAAATCAACAAAAAAATGAACAAATCCCCTCTTGCGCTATCAGAATCCGATAAAAAATTTTGAACATTTCACAAAGGTTTTCCGAAATATGATCCGTTTTCCATATTACCATTAAGTGAAATATATACGGCCCCCCTAATTTGCGGGCTATTGCAACACGCCGGTGAAATGTGATAAAACATATAGCCGAATAATATAACCTAATTATAAACTTACCAATGCAGGGCTCATCGGATTGCAAGGGTACGGCAAGTGCTGAAAACATAAGTTAATATAAGAACATTTCAGACAATATGACAATATTATATTTACACATGGGAGAAAACAAACTTTCTGTGCTGAGTATCGCGTAATGGTCAGATAAAAGTAACTTACTCAAGCACGAATAGGTTTCCAATTAATCTAGCGACCGACCACGTCCCACAATAACCGAAATATTTGATTTGAAATATAAACATCAAAAGCAAACGAAAAAAAAACATTTGTGGAATTTATGGAAAATATAAGTCTGATAAAACAAAACGCGTTGCGCAATACACGTCTGGATACATCAGAGACCGACACGAAATTAGCTGCAATCCATCAATAGAGCATGCCGAAACTGCGCAAGCAAGGATGGCGACAGTTTACAGTAAGACTGCTGCAAGAACCCCGCAGGTAAAAGCAATAGATGCGCAAAGCCAGCGCGTCGATGCCACGCGACCTTGTGAACGAATTGCAATAGACACAGTACCTGTGATAAATATAAAACTAAAATGTGCTGCATGCGACAGCTCGACGAGAATCTTACGTGTAGCATCTCGCACGGCGAATGCGATAAGAAAGTTGTTTATACACAAACGCTGATAATAGATTTGTCTTCAAAACAAATACAATTCTATTTTATGATTTTTAGTTCATGCTGTTGAATAAAAATTTAAATCATGAAATTATGATTTATGATTTGAGTTTTATTGAAGCATTGATTGAAGCAAAGATTTCTAATTGCATAAAACTGACGACGCCTTCGAGGCGAAACATATTTAACTCAAAAACACGATGTAATTCGACAACGTTCAAATTTAATCCAGTATATATAATTTAACAATGGTTTACGTATTCGGCATAAAAACTAACAATCAAATTTTGAAGTTACTGTGACGCGTTCGAAAGAAAAGAGTAAAAATACATACAATTTCCAATACTGCATCTTCAAAATCGGCGAATATATGTGTGTGCACAATGTTCGTTTCGCGAAATCTTGACAATATCATCTACTTGGAGACGGTGAATATATAGAACGGGTCAATCACGGCACAACACTTTAGTTTAAAGGAAAACTAAGTACACACAGCGACGGTTACGACGCGAAAGACGAATTCACACTGGCGTGCCGTCAAGTACAGTGCTGCCAACCTGGATTTTGAAAAAGGCGACACCAATCCCTCTACAGGATATCACACTAACCATTGGCTTTCATTTGTCAAATTTGTTAACGGCATCAAAAAACATAATTTCATCCTCCCTTTCGAACGAAAGACACTTCACTACACCGTAAGTTTAAACCTGATGGCTGCTGCGACCGCAATGGACGTAGACGAAGAAGAAGTCGAGTTGCCCTCCAGCAGTTCCAAAGGCGAGAAGAAACGCTTTGAAGTTAAAAAGGTAAATTCATCCATCTTAACCTAAATGAATTTAGATATATAGATATCAGATATATAAATATATATTTTTTAATTTTCAGTGGAATGCAGTTGCATTGTGGGCATGGGGTAAGCCCTAAAGATTTAAACATTACTCAAATTACTTCAATTAATTTGGGTTAGTTTTCTAAATTATAATTTGATGTGTTTCATTTCCAATTCAGATATCGTGGTGGATAACTGTGCCATCTGTAGAAATCACATAATGGATCTCTGCATTGAGTGTCAAGCAAATCAGGCATCAGCTACAAGTGAAGAGTGCACTGTAGCATGGGGTGTATGTAATGTAAGTTCTCATCTACTTCATAATTTGATTTTGGTTGAATTTTAATCTTATTTCTTTTTACAGCATGCCTTTCACTTTCACTGCATTTCTCGTTGGCTGAAAACTAGGCAGGTTTGTCCATTGGATAACAGAGAGTGGGAATTTCAAAAGTATGGCCACTAAATTTTATCTCCTGTGTGTGATTATTTTGTAAGATAACTGATATAAGCAGGAAGGTTATAAAAATTTTGTATTTAAGCCAATATTTCAAATTCTAAGTATGTCACATTGTTTTGTTCAAGTATCTGTAAAATTAACTAGTGAAATATCTTCTTTCATTTTTGTCAAGGTGCTGTTTTATTTCATACCTAAGGTGTGTACCAAATAAAAATAAATTAGCCTCTTTTTCATGAACAAAACTTTGTTTTTGATAATTTTTGTTGTCTGTGTTGCCTTCCATAAAGGAAAATTAAAAATTAGACAAGTATTTATACATATGATTGTTTGATAGTTTATTTTACATTGTAATGCTTATTGGGATTAGATAACATGTCATTTTATTCGGATTGATTATGCACATCGCTCCCATTATATCTTTTTACTTTGAATGCGTTACATCGGGATACCAGAACAATTTAATTTCCTATGAAAGACCGAAATGTCTTGGGTACATAAAAATTAATTTATTTCTCATCTGAATATACATAACAAATACTTCTAGCAGATTGTCTCAAACTTGCAATAAAACCTAATTTGTTTATCAATTTTGCTCTAATTACTAGAATTATAATAATTTTGATATTTTAAGGTTTTTATGAGTACTGACATCTGCTTCTACTCCTACTTTGTACTGGCCGCACTTATTTACATACTTATTTACAAATATGTTTAAATGGACCCATCATTCCATCAAATTGCAACATAACAAATACAAATATGACAAATCACAGATTCTTTTGCCTACGATTTTTGCTACCTTTTGAAACAATCTGCTTATTTTATATTTTAACAACAATGAAAACAAACAATGCCATTTTGAAGGTTTTCACGATCATAACAAGAGTGTGAAGATGTAATCAGGGATGTTACATTAGACGTACTCACGTATTATTGTCCATAAATTTGTCAAAATATCGTCTCTAGGCATTGTACAATATAATTCCCCAAATCAAAAACATACAAGCAATTATTATTCATCAGTCGCTTGATTTTTGATTTTGAATATCAATTATTGATAACATCTTATACAATTGGTTGTATGTTTTTCATTTGTTGCAAATATTGTATAAATCAGTTGGATTAAATTTTTTTTAGTATAGTATAAGTGTGAAACCTGTTTCATTTTCTGCATTTTGTAAAGAGTCAACATTTAACATTCAACAACGAATAGAAACATACTTTGTGTGCTTTTTTAGTCAAGAATCGGTTTCAACATTTTAAACTTTCCACATAATCATAAACTTGCCAAAATGTACAATTATGTTCCTTATTTCTTTGCATCGTCGTCAATAATATATTCTTTTGTTAGGATCAAAGGCCATTTATCACAATCATGGAAGCAAACACACTTTTGTCACGAAACATGTTTGGTAAGTGTCTAAAGTGTTATTTTGGCAACATTTGATACAGGGCGATTCACCATTTTTTCAAAACAACAACTTAGTATTTATCTCTACGTATCTAATAAAATAACACATTTTGTTGGTATATTGTTATCACCCTGTGTCTTGTATGTGTTTGTAAATTGTTCGGATAGAAAACGTTTAAACTACGAGTACATGCGTGTAGAGTGTGTTGTAACAAGGGTAGAAATAGTGAGAGAGTTGAGGGGGTCGTGAAGGGAATGTATGCACTGTACGTTCTTGCTTATATACTAAGTTATGTGGGGGGTTGCGTGGCCGTGGAAGATTTTATTTTCGCAGTGGATGCCACATTGCGACCGGGCGCCGCAACGCCTGCAGCATTTGATTCCAATGCGCTAGCGAACGTCCCGACGCCTGCGCCCCGACGATGACATGACCGATGGAGTGTGCTTTTGTCGCCTCCGGGTGCATCTCAGCTACCGTCAGACGTATCTGGATTGTCTACAAAACAAAAATTAGATAGTTCATAACAAAAATGAGCCCCCTGCTGCATCATGTTTTTTGAGTATTTTTGGTACCGAATATTTTCTAAACTAAAAGAGATAGCAACCAGAAGATTATAGATTACAATAGATTAGAAAATTCTCTATCAGGTAAGACTTAAAAGTAATTTAATTTAGTAGGGTAAAAGGTCCAAAAATGCGACCAAAAGTGCTAAATATTGCAATTTTTTGTTTTTGACCATTTTTGAATTGCGAATATCTCGTAAACTAAAAGAGATAGAAAGGAACGAATCGCAGATTCAGAATCTTCGGACAATTCTCGATAAGATAAGCTAGTTAAATTGGAAATCCAAGAAATAAAAAACAAATTAAAAAGAAAAAATGAGCAAATGTCAGCTATACATTCATCCACGTACGAGTACGGTGCCCTGAACACGAGTCTACCGCTGCCCACGTAGGGTGTTCTAAAAGGGGTCACTTCTACCGCTACCCTCGTACGGTGCCTCGAACACGAGTCACTTCTACCGCTACCCTCGTACGGTGCCCTGAACACGAGTTACTTCTACCGCTACCCTCGTACGGTGCCCCGAACACGAGTCACCTCTACCGCTAGCTTCGTAAGGTGCCCTGAATATTAGTCACTTCTACCGCTACCCTGTTTTAAACAAAAAGCCTTTCTACAAGTGCTTATTTATGAACAATTAAAAGGCAAACAAAGAACATTGTTCCGGAAAATGTGAGGGTATTACAAAGGGTTGAAATTAAGAGAATTCTTGGCAAAATTGCGCTGAAACATTCTTGGAATTTTGTTGTATAGAATTTACAAACTATAATGACTACGCCTTTAAACATACCTGTAGCATATGCGCAGGAATATTAAACATCATTGATTCGTTAAAAATAGGACTCTTTTCCGGTTTCTTGGATGAAGTCTTCTTTTTATGAATTTTTTTGCCGTACTGCAGCAGATATGCCTGAAAAATAAATTAACACATAGTGCTACGGTAGAGAAACATCAAGTGAAAAATATATACGTGTACCTTAACGAAGGGTTCTCCTTGCTCCTTATCGCTCTGAAACTTCAGCTTCCTACCTTTGACGACAACGACGGTGAGTCGTTCTGCCGTGGGCAGATAACTCAACGAGAACATCAACTCTCCGAACTCTGTACCAGCCTAAATAAAGTAAAAAAATAAAAATAAAAAAGTACTGCAGAATTTTCATTTACAAAGCGAATGCATTTTACCTGGCTAGTATCCGTTAAGGTAACCCACGTGGTAACAGGCTGTCGAAGACTGACATCAGCCAAACTCAGTTCACCCTCACCAATGAGCGTGTGTGAGTTCATATCCGTTGCGTAAATGTGAAACAACAACGCTGTTTGCATCTGATCTCGAGGATGTAGTGTAAAAATCACGCGCTCCTGATAACTGGGACTATTTGAATTCCGATAGATCTTTGTCTGTACGTTGATATTCTTATCAGGCAATAGAAAAATTTTCACATATGTGTCCATCTGCTCATCGGTGTTGGTTGCGCCATTTATCGCAAAGTTTGGGTTTATTAAGTCTTTTGCTTCCAGAACGTTTGCTATCATTTCACCCTGTTCGCTGGCAAATAATTTAAAAATTAATTAACTTTGTATAACCATGAAATGTGGCTTCATAAACTTTTTTAATAAATTTTTTTAAAACCTAATATACCACAGTCAAATTAGCAAGAAACCGCGCTTGGGAAAAAAGAATATTTACCTGTCATATTCAAGCCCAATGCAAAGATATCCTGTGATGTTGTTCTCCTCGAGATCGCCGAGCGCAACAGACGTATCCGAGCAGACACTCTCACAGGAGACGGCACGTTTGAGCACGCCCGATATCACCTCAACGTAATCTCCTGTTGCCGCCCCAACGCCGCCATTTCCACTTGCGCTTGTTGCCACATTCCTACACGTGTCCTCGCTGACACTGCCACTTCTACTTCGGGTACCATTCGTACCTCTAATTCCGAATGGATTTCCACCTCTGGTGGCAATTAGATTGCTGCCATTGATGCATTCGTTCATTGTCAAATCGGCAGTCAAATTGACGCTGAGTTCTTGTGGCGGCGCTTCGCTATCAAGAAGAGGAAGAGTGTGCGTAGCAGCAACGCGTCCTTGCATAGCCGGGGGCGGTTGGATGAACTGCGCGTTCGACTGTTGCATTGCGTTTACATTCATTGAAGACACCGGCCGAGGAAGAGGTTTTATTGATGTTTCAGTCGCGATGCATTCATTGTTACTTTAATTTAAAATATTTTTATTTTTATTTATATAATATAATTTAATGATTACCTTATTATAGTGGTTGTTAATATTGGCGGTGGACTTTGCTTATCTTCTAGAGATGACTCTCTGATAATATCCGCGGAGGATATCGTTGGGACCGGCGCCGGACGCAGTGGTTGCGGCGGAATTTGCGGTTCTTCATTCTCGAACCACTCGTCGCTGCCGAAACTTGTTGTGGCGATTTTTATATCTCTATCAAATGATTCAAACCGCTTGAAACTACCGTTGGTGCCAATGTAAATATCCGAATCTGAATGTACCTACAAAATGCACGGATGTTATTGATGTGGAAAGGTTTGATGATGCGTGATTTTATGCGAATGCGAATAAGCAAATAAAGCAAACTCCGTTTTGGAAATACGAGCGGACCTCTCTGGAAATTCAACACCATTGATCGCAAATGTTAATGTCAGCATATCGGCATATCAATGGCGAAAGTTGGCAAGATACAAAGAAGTGTATTATTGATTTGCAGATGTTGATGTACCAAGTCATTCGTAACTTGTACGAACATTTTATTAAATCATGTTTTATTATAAATTTATATTCGGTTTTGCGTTGGAAGATAAGCTGGGAAATGTTTAAGCATTCACTCACCAGATATCCGTTGGCGTTGAAGTGTCCTACGAGTTTTGTTAGGCCGACTTTCTCTTCGGTCGTTGATTTGATCCAGGCCGTGAGCGCAACGAAAACGTGGAACTTGTGACAGGCGTAGAAGATAAGCGACATCGCAATCGCGATTATCGCCAATGTCAGTAGGCCGTACATCTAAAACACACAACAACATCACTAAAATCTAAAAAATAACATTTTTTTTAGATATTTTCAGTAGCCTTTGGTCTATGAGCAAAGTAAGAGCACTAAAAGTCATAAATCATTCGTTATTAATGAATATGTAACATGGAAATAGGATTTATTGTGTTGCGTCCGGTTTTCCTGGTAATTTTTCACACGCGCAAAAATATGAACGCGTGCTGCTGTTTGATAACATCGGTAGTAATCAATCAGTTGCTTTCCTAGCATTGCTATTAATTCAGCCATGTTGCATTTTATTAGTTTTAATTTTCAAAATGGAAAAAATACGAAAATTATTTGTAATGTTTTCTTTGTAAAGGGTTTGGATGGGTCCCACGAGTGTATTAAATATTCTGTCCATCCCATATTTTTATAATTAATATAAAAAAGCTTTTAAATAAATAAAAACTTTCTGAATATCATTATTTTGCATTGGATTAATTAAATTAATAATAAACAATGAACAAAGACTATTGAATGACTGACATATCGCAGCCTGGAATAATTGATTTTTTTATAATCAGAAATATCCTTTAATTACATCTCTGTGTGTTCCGGTCGTACTGGAGGCTGCGTTCTGCGTGCCCTTCGCACAAATTTGCGGTTGGTCGGATGTGGAGTGCAAGGTCGATCGAAACTAAATTTCAATATTCGATACAATACAGTGTGACTACACACACTGACAGGACTTGTAATTAAGTACCTCCGTTCACATAGCAATTAAAAACAAAGCAACTACACAATGAAAAATATTTCATACTAAAAATTAAAATATTGAATTGAAATTTTGGATGTTTTGTGATTTTTGAATTTATAATGTGAAATCCATCACGTACCTTTTTGACTCCAGGCGTGAGTGTTTGGCTAATGTGCGCTTTGAGTAGATATCTTCCGCGTCATGGCTTACATCATGGCCGATGGTGTGTGAGCGAGCGTGTTTGACTTTGGAGAGGAATCGACGCGCGTGCGGCAGCGAAACGCGCGTAAACGTATCTAGGCCATTGCGGCGCGGTGGATGGCAGGCGATATTGGAGGAGCTGTGTCGCGTTCACGCACCGCCGACACTTTGCAGTCACATTGCGGAATAAGAGCACAAGCGTGCCGAGTTTTCCGCCTGTCCGCCGCTCCTGCGGCTCCTGTGGCTCGCTTTCCCAGGCATGCGCGATGTTGCCCGGCGCCTTCACATTACAGAGAAACTAAGCTCAGGCACGGTTGGCATGCCAGCGAGCAGATTCCGCTGCGTTATTTTTAATTTTCTTCTGAACTCAGAGAGACAAATCACCTCAAGCAATACATCACACTTGGATGTTTTTTATGAGTACTTGAATTTGTTTACAGAAAGCGCTGAAACAACAGCAATAAATTCTACTAAATTTTATTGAATTTTAATTGAATTATAATGCAAAATTTGTTTGGATTGAATTTTTTTGGATTTAGTAAATGTTTTGAATAGTTTAATAACTTGTTTATATGATTTTTGATTAGGTTCATTACTGATGAGGTCAAATATTGGATTTTTCTTAGAATTCAGAAATCGTTAATAATTCAAGTGCGTGAAAATATTTTAGCGCTCTTCAATTTTCCGCTTCTGGAAAACCAAACACATTTATGCTTTCAAAATGTGTTCCTAGATGGCTTTACTTAACATATTCCCTATTTTTAATTAAAAATATTATTTTAACACAATTCCAACACTAAAATATAAACTTTCCTAATCAATTCTTCTTTTTATTATTTCAACACGTCTAAATATTATTGCATAATGTATTTTATAGATGATTTATTTTTTGTGTTTGGTTAATGTTGTAACGATTTATCATTCAACGATTATTCCGATTAGATAATTTGCAATCGTTGATAATCAAAAAGGTTTCCTGAGCCGAAGCACCTCCGGCTGTTTTTCCGGCGCCGGCGACGCCGAAATGACGTTCGATTGTAATTTAGTGATTCTAATTGGTATTGGTATGCCAGGATTCCTTCTGCTCACCTGCCTTTTTCGCCTGCTGTTCGCGCGACAACAACACCCGGGCAAAAATTGGAATTTTACCAATCTTCGGAGCAATGAAGACGTCGAGGAAAATCAATATCTGCGAGTAAGTCAAAGGCAATTAAATTTTATCCGCAATAAACAAAAAAAAACACAAAAATAAAATAAAAATAACTAATAATTTGTTTGTGGACGTTTTTAACTTTGAAAAGTAATTATTTCCAGGAGAAATTTAATTAATGCAAAGCTTAAAGTAAAGATAATTACTTGATGCGTAGCGGGAAGCTAAAAATAAACTTTGGAGTTTGAAAATTTCCGCAAGATTTTTGATCTCTTGCTAATTTATGCGAAACTCGCATATAAAATAAACCATTATCGAAATCCGCGAATAAATATCAAGCGAAATCTGTGTGCTTTGTGTTGAGACGTGAAGGTCGCAGCCGGACGCGGCTAAATGCTCGCGCGTGCGCCACCCCCACCGCCCAACCTGTTGAACCCCCGACGGCGGCGTCGTTATCCGCTATATATCGCAATAGATTGCCGCCGCGCAACACGACAGTCTGCCCGTCGTCCGTCGTGCGGAGAGGATGATCAACGGCATTGCGCCGCCATAAACACAACCGCCACCGCTGCCGCCGCAGCAGTCAATCGATCGTCTGCCGCCGATAAACATGCATGCGTTGTGATCGTGCGTTGTGTCGGAGACATGTCGGGCATCGGGCCAGCGAGCTGCTGGATCGCGCACAAGCGGCTGGAGTCGTGGGCGAAGGCGGCGAAGGAGCGCGCGCTTGGCGCTGCCCCCAAGACTCATGTAAACAACGACCCCGCCGCCACCCCAGTTACAACCGCACATGAACAGGTAGACTCTCGTCATCAAAACCTTGACATACAAAAATACACATTTTATTACTATGATTATTTTGATTTGTATTATTGGTGTTGATTTTTGAATGTGAAGCATGGTTGAATGCGCAACAAGCAAATTGTCGCCCATTCGAAGCGGGATAAAACTAGGCACTGGGGGATGAAGATAGGGATGAGGGGTAGGAATGTTAAGGTTGATTTTCACACAGCTGTGAATCCGCGTGTATTTACTAGCGGGCGCAAAATCGATAATGTAGTCTGAGAGGAAAAAAAAAAGTTTCTCGACGGTTTGTTTTCCGCGCTTTTTCATCTCCCAACATGTCAATAACAAAAACTAAGAGAAAAATGATTAACTCATATGATTGCTTCGAAAAAAAATTAATTTTTCTCAATGAAACCACAACGTTTTTTATTTTTACTGTACGTCGTGTTATTTTTATAATTAAAACGCATAGAAATACGTTGGATACGAGGGTTGAAGTGTGTAATTCACTTATTTTGTATTGTGTTATTAGCGTCGGGGTTCCATTGAATTGTGCGAACGTGTATATCGATAACGGGAAACTCGGTAGCCTGAATTGGTTCCCGGTAATTTGTTGCGTCGTGTTTGCTTTCTGTGCTCGCGTCAAACCGAACACTTCGATGAATATTCGAAAGTTTCGAACTTTACAATCCCCATTATTAGGATTTAATGTTTACGTAAGATGAATATAATATTTTAGAATATTACGTAAATATCTTATTTAGGAACCAGCACAAAATAGTAATTTCCTGCGAAGAAGTCCAGTGAAATGCGCGACAACCGAAATGTCGTCCTCGCCATCAGCAACATCCCTTCAACACCAGTCAAAGTCCTACCCAGGAGGACATCCTTCTCTCTGCAGGACAGAGAGTATCTCATCGCAAACTTCAATGGACAGTCAGACAAATGTCCATACAGTAAGCAATTTGATTTAAATTTACTTAAATTTACTTGAATCTATTAGTGAAATCAATTACCACCTGCAAATGCAAACCTGTCACATATAATTGCCGCCCGCAGGGCCACCGCGGTTCCTCGCCGCAGATCCACACGTACACGTCCGAAGGTCACGAGCTGCCCGCCCCCGGCGGCAACCAGTTGCGTCACAGCGCGCGCTCCCCGTCGCCGCTGCGTGCCATCTCACTGGACATCCGCTGCAGCCCCGACTCGCCCGTACACAGGCCGGCATCCTCGACTACGTCCTCCCCGGTGAATCCTGCGCTCTCGCCAAGTTGCAGCAGCCCGCCCATACCCATTCCGCTATCGCCGCGCAATTTAGGGCACAGTCATGGGAGATATCTGTCGCCGCTGGCGATCCCGTCGCGCAGCAACACGCCGGAGAGCGCCTCCAACCATTCCTCGCCGATGCCGCCGTCCAGTCCTCTGGGCGCTATTCAGTTGGATCTTTACACGCGAAAGGAAGGACCGCTTTTTATTAGTCGTCTACCTGAAGAGGGACCTGATATTGGGAGATTACACTTCCGGTTGAATTATGACTTTAATCGGAGCGATTTAATTATACATATCATAGAAGGTAATTTTTTTATCTTTAACTTTTTAAGTATTGCAGATAAATATAAAACTGCAAGCAAAATTCAACTTTTTTTTTTGCTTTTTTATTTAATTTAAGTTTTATTAGTTACTAGCTTTAACCCGTGGCTTCGCTCGCGAATATCTAAAATAATGAAGTTGCTTCCGTACGCGTCTGTAGTCACAGAAGAAGTAACAATGAAGTAGAATGGCGGGATGTTTAAAATGGCTGAAAGTATAGTCTATGGAAGTATAGTGTACAGTCTCCATAGTGTAGTCAATTGGATTTGATGTTGACGTAGCTGTCGGTAATACAGTGTGATAATACAGTATGATGGTACTATAGTACTTAGGTTTGAGCTTCATTGTTGAAATGCTAGATGGCGTTAAAGTAGTCAAATAGCCAGATGCAGAGGTATTATTGGCTAAAAAATTTCTTTATTTTGTATAAAAAATAATTTTTTTTATTAAATAAAAAGTAGCCTATAACCATTCGGGGACCACTAAGAATATGTGTACACATTTTCATGATGATCGGTTAAGTAGTTTTTGCGTGAAAGTGTAACAAACATCAGGACTTTCGCATTTATAATATTAGTAGGGATTACTAAGTAGTTTAATAATTTAAATATTTGTCTCTTTTTGAATGTGTGAGAAAAAAAGTTTCACCTGAGAACACTGCAAGAAACGCAAAGAAAAGTGATGAAAGCTTGTATCGCACACCAGGGATTAAAAAGTTTCCAAATTAAATATAGCATAAAAGCCCAGCTGCAATATCAACCTCACTCGGGTACTTTGCTCAGCACACAAAACTTTTTCAATATGTTAATGTTTTACCATTCTATCTGCTACACATACCGTGTGTTTTTAAATTCGCAAAGCAATTAATTTAAAATCTGCAAATAACAAGTTATTATTTATTTATTTTTATTTATTTCTGATATGTGAAAGACTTTCAAAGAGATCGGATTTTTTTAAATTTAACGAACCGATATCTTTTCATATGCTATGAATAGAACCCATTCGTATTCTTCAATTGTGAATTGAAACGTTGTGTGTTCTTCCGTGCAGTTGCCTACATTGTGAATCGGTTGTATTGATCATATGCCATCTTTGTTGTAAATAATTAATTTCTTCTCTTCTCTCTGCTGTGTAGATTAAATCTTAAATAACTAATTAGCCAAGTTAATTGAAAGTTTGTTTTGAATTTAAATTGAAATACTCTGATTTCTTTAGCACATAATTTGCCAAGTAAAGAAAACGGCGGCTTCAACGACCCGTACGTGACGGCGGCGCTGATACCGGAAGTAGATAACCGGAAGCGGCAGACGATTATCCACCGCAACGTGGCAAACCCGTACTTTGACCATAACTTTAAGTTCCCCATGACGCACGATGACCTTGCAAACAGCACGCTCATCTTGCAAGTGCATGATGGTTGCGGGAAGTCGGGTGTTGTTGGCGAGGTGAAAATGTGTATGGATGATTTCGATGTTACGTCGAATATGGAAGTATGGGGTGAGATAAATCGTATTGAAAGGACGCGTGAGGATAAACAGGCGATTTTGTTGAGCATGAGTTATTTACCATCAGCGGAGAGATTGACTATTGTGCCAATGAAGGCGAGGAATTTACAGAAAAGGAAGGATATTGGCATTGGTATAAAATTAACCCATGATATGATAGGCAGATATTGATATTATAATTTTTATAGATCCCTATGCAAAAGTCTATTTGATTATCAATGGAAAGAAGGTGAAAAAGAAGAAAACTGCTGTGAAAAAATGCTCCGAGCCCATTTGGAACGAGGCGATCACGTTCACGCTGCCCGCTTCAAGTTTACCCAATGCTTCGATTGAGGTGAGTTCATTCTTTCATTAAATTTACTCGTACTCCGAGTGAGCACTTACTAAATTGATATTTTATATAACTTTTACTATGTTTCACAATGTAATGCTGAAACATGTTATTCGTACTTTTGAATGGCCGCTTGAATGAAAAGTGTAAATGGAGGGTAACGGAAAAATCGAGATTGTAACTGAAATCAATTCATAAATGCTGTTGGAGTGCCTTCTGCACTTGCGATGCAATGCACTTTGCGCAAACGGGTAAATTTACCTATTGTCGTCATGGCGATGGGGTGATGGGGCGATAGTAGGTTACAAGTTACGGGATGACGCAAAGGCTGACCCACATCTTGATCGCCGCAGGAGCTTGAATAACTAGCGCGTATTATCTAAAGACGTTGGTATCGAATATATTACTTTTAAATTATTTTAGACAATAATATATGAAAGTAATTGAATAAATATTAATATTATACTCATTTTTATTGATATGAAGTGAGTGGAAAATGTCATTCAAACATTTTTGGATTTTTTTTTGTTTTAAAATTAAATTTTCAGTTACTTTTTGAGTTTTTTAATAATTTTTAATAATATTTATGTATTTAATGTGTTTAGATAATTGTATTAGATCAAAAGTCCGATCTAATTGGAAGCAGCCCACAGATCGGATCCTGCGTGATCGGACCGAAGCAAAATGGCCCCGAAAGGGACCATTGGCGTCAGGTGACAAAGAGTCCGCGCACGACGATCGCCTGCTGGCACGTGCTCACTTAGAGCGTACCTAGGTGCGCTAATGCTAATTACATTTTTTTACTTCCTTAATCCCCGCTGTGCACAATGTACAGCCAATCATAATTACCGTTGATGGCCAATTAAGTTGATATCATGCTATCGTGCAGCATATTAAAATTTCATAAATTAATAAAGTCAAATCAATAAAATTGCAAAACTTTAAAACATATTATGCAATAACATAAATTGCAAGAAATAATCAAAAGAATCTGCTAAGAAGTTTGTGTTTGTGTTTAACTGTACATCATGTTAACTGTTTCTGTCATAGTCGGTAACAAATCATGTCAAATGACTAAAAATCAAATTGCCGTGCAAATTGTATAAAAATACAAATTCCATAGGCCTATAGTGTTTTTAAATGATATGCACTTATGATTTTGATTACAATTACAAATTAAAACACACAAATAATCAAAAACTAATAATAACATTATAATCGTATACAAGATAATTGACAATCCGTGTCGATTGATAAAAACACTTTTATCATTTGAAATCCGTTGTCTTATACTTTCAAATGTAAATGAACGCGGTTTGCCTGTAAAAATACTTAGGTTTTGGGTCTTTGTTGTGTGTTTGTGTGTATAATGTGTATAATATGGCATATAACTTTGATAAAACCGATTTACAAAAGTATATATTGTACATTATGATATACATTATCAATTGGATTACTGTGAATAACATATTTTGATGGTTTGGTTAAAAAAGTACCTGCAATTCATTCATTTCTATTGTCTTTTTTGAAATATGTTATTTATAAATGCAAATCGTATCTTATTTACTTGAAAATTTTCTATATACGTATATAAAGTTGAATATTTAAATATAAAATGAGAATATGTATACATATTGACGCTTAGTAAGTTTAAGAAACCTGTTTAGACAACAGATCAAAATCATACGTTCTACAAAACTTGCGTTTATATAAATAATACAAACCATTGGATATTTAAATAATAGGTATTAAAGATTTTAAATTCTATTGTATTTATAAATATATCAAATCTTAATGAATTAGAAATGATAAGAAAAAATATATAAATAATGTTTTGACAAATATTGTCAGCTAAAATTGAAGATAATGAAGAAAAGCAAAATTGTAAATGGTCGACGTTATTGTCAAACGTATGCATGATGTTCTAAGCCTAAACTTTGATGTACTTTACTATACACTTGCCTATTGACGATTAATTATAACGACTACGATTTGTGACTGTGTGCATTTACAAAATCAACTTTGACCTGCTGCAGCGCCAAAAACAAAGTATAACATGATGTGACTTATATAAATTTCAGCTGAACAGCTATAATATGAATTAGTTTATTACTTTAATACTGTAAAGGTACTAATCATAGCTGTAAGTCCTTTACTAATGTATATTTTGATAAGACTATTATATTATTCTGATGCACGTTTGTCTAAAGGTTGGTTAGTTGTTGGCAGAAATGTGAAAATGTAAATTGGCGTCTAAATTAATGTACACACAACAAGAGAATTTGAATCATATCGCGTAAATTGTTCATTTCCAGGCGAAAAATCCAATCTAAATCGAAACGATTACTTATGACCCCGACAATTAGATGAAATTGGCAATGTCTCAAATATAAAAACAAAGTCGTCAAAAAGAAAACTGATACTGATATCTCAAAGACAAATGAAACATATCTCGTTCATGAAAACTTAAATCTAACTAAAAGTATTCGCGCAAAACGCGCTGGCGATTAGGCGAGTCTCAGAATCTATAAAATGAGCATATTATTTTTTGAAAAACTAATGATGAAAAATGATGAAAAACAATAAAGCTGGACAATGGATCAAAAACTAAATAAATGTCTATGATATGTATGATGTATACTGTGAACGTATAAAAGATCAAATAAAAAATATAAAATTATCATACTTTAAACCAGTTTTAGAAGATTTGTTATTCCATTTTCTTCTTCTTCCTGCTTTTATTTTATTATCCCGGATACTTTATAAGGTTTTTTAAGCAAATTGATTTGCATTGCTGAAAAAACAAAAAGTTGTTGAGGGAAAATCATCGTAGTCAGCTCCGCATTATCCAAGTTCTTTAGTTTCCGACATAATCGTCCTTAAAACCCATTTTTGGCTGATGTATTTTCCATTACTGATCTGACATTGTATTTTTTCATGTCAAACAATAAAAACTAAAAGAAAAATTTGTAATGATCGAGCTAAGGATCACTTTGAAACTCGTTTATTACAAATTCATTGAAAAACATTTATTAGGTGATTAATTGACACGAAAACATGACGCGTATTACCATTAATCGCAGCACGCTTCGCCCATAATATGTATTTTCATTACAAATCTATGAAATGCGTGATGAAAATTACATTGCAATAAAAAACTATTTATAAAATGGTTTGATAAATATACCTTATCAGAATGTGAGATGATTAGTGAAACTTCTTGTGCCGTGTGCTGCGACAATGAGTCCCTTAATATTATATAACTAAATAACAAATAGAGTTCATTTACTTCTGAGTGTGTATAAATACTAGACGCATGGCTTCAATATTGTAAAATTGGAGTGCGAATTGAAAACAATGTGCAAGTGTGGAATCACTTAGTCATTATTCGAGAGATGAAACCATTACAACCTAAAAAGTATCTAAACAAAAACAAATAAATAACAATTTTCTTATGTAAATTACAACCAATCATAACAATTCCATTAAAATAATTTCAAAGCAAGTAAAAAGAAAGAAAAACAAGAACAAGAAAATAATTCACTAATAATTCTGCCCGCTGACTGAATTAAATTAATATCTCCAATTTTATCATACTGAAACCAAACTGATTATAATTTGAAATTATGCAATTCAATTTACATTCACGTTTGCTCCGTTTGCACAAGTTTGTCCTCGGTCACAGGCGAAATTTGTTTACCTAAAGAGCCATTTTTACAAGATATGCCCAGGAGTTCTCTTAAACCCTAAAAAGAAGCAAATGTCAGTACATACAACATTTAAATAGGAAAAAATGCAAATATTGTTGATCAGCAGACGGAAAAATGTTGTTTTATATAAATTAAAGTTGTTCCCAGGAAAAAGTAGAGTAAAGCAATGCTGTAAATTAATTTAAAATTAATGATTACTTTATTTTCAGCTCGCAATCTGGTTAGCATCTCCTCTTCATGATATGTATCATTCTCATGCATCGAGGCAGCTTTCTTCATGACTGACGCCATCTCGTGAATCTTCTCAGCTTGTTGTCTTATAATCTCGTTGTACTTTTCATTATTCACAGTCTTGAGGTCAATTCTCGAGTTGTATATTTGTTCAGTGGTGTGTTGTCTGTACTTGGTCATTATGTGCTCCAACGCCGTCTGGTGTTCTTCGAGTGCGGCTCGCAACTCGCGATTTTCCTGTTGGATTTCTCGCAAATGTCGATTTTCTTTTTGTATATTGGCTATCAGCTGTGAGTGTGGCTTCTGGTGAGCTACTTCATTTAAAGTCTCAACTTCTTCTTGGTACTAGAAATTAAAAAATAATGTGATAAATGAGTTGTTTTATTAACGAGTTCTCTGGTTCTTTGTAAGTTGTCAAAAATTGTATCAAAATCAAGTTTTCAATGATAAATCGGTGATGTTTTGACCTTTGTGTTCTTAAAGACGTGTTTATCAAGCAAAATAAATCAACCAAGCCAACTGCCTGACTATTTCTTACTGTGTGTGTAGGAAAACAAAGAAAATCTTTCTTACCTGCTTCATAGCATCAATTTTCTTATTGATTGCGTGCGTCTCGTTAAGTAGAATGTCAGCTACGGCATCGCGTTCTTTTAAGCGGCCAGAGAGCCGCTTTGCGTCCGTAATAATTTGCTGAATATTGAGTGACATACCTTAGAAATACCGTAACTGTACACCCGTTCGATCGGAATACGAAATGTGCGCGACTTTTCGATCCAACGAATATTAATTAACTCGCCTCCGCATTGAGGTTGATTTCACTTCGCACATACGAGTTGTAGCGACGCAATCACGGCGTTCGTATGGTAAACACGATCGAGGCGTTTACCTAACCAGAATCATGCTATATGTAAAGAGCGCAGCAGTGACAACAATTAATTTATAAATTACTAAATTGCTATACAATTGACGCTGACAACCAACACTAAACGACTGGAAACCAAACAGCTGCTGCTGACTGCTGCACATGTTCGTATCCGGAAATAAAAAGTTCGAGAGCGCACGAACAGACACGAGTGTATATTGATTCTATGTGTATGTTTGGTTGCCTATAATCAAGCAGAGTTCTACATTAGAAATTATTGTTTGAAATTAGAACTTTTCCTTTACTTGAAAGTTAAATATCTTGTTTATTAAGCATATTTTAAAGAAGTTTTAGCTTAAAGCAAGTAAAAAATAGCAGTGCAAACCTCTGGTTTTGAATTGGATACAATTAAAACTTTAAAAACAATTTAAACTTGCAAATTCTATGGTACTGCAATGAAAATTTCAGGTTTTTGCAGTTTTCATTAAAAAGAACGCAACTAATCGAATTATAATGAAACTAGGTGTGTTTCTAAGAAAATTTGGTGTAATTTTACTCCTTACCTCAGTGCACAATGTGTTTTGAGGGTTTGAACCTGTTTTATTCAATCGGAACGCGCAATAGTGTAACCAACACCTGGCGTTCTATTTCTCTATACACCTATAATAGTCCCAAACTAGTTCCACCCCTAAGCAGTTTCATCGCATAGAAAACATTCCTGCTGCTGTACACACACATTTCAAATGTTAATACTCAAATTCACATTTATTAGAATAGAAAAAAATCGCAACAGAACGATTTCAATGCTTATAAAAGAGAATACAATCAACACTTGGATGAAAAGTACAAATAGAAAATACTATATATTACATCAGAAACTTGCAATGTTCGTAAATATAAATACTTCTTAACTTTACGTTGGAATAATGAGAAAAAAATTAAAATAATTGTCCTTTGGTTGGTCGCGAATACACGAGAAAACGACTCTACGCGAGGGTGTCTTTATAATAAATAAGAAAATGCTAAAAAATATGCTTAAGTCAACTCTAGCATTAGTTCGCCCGCCATCTGCAGGAAACAATAAAATATACAAAAAATACAATACATTATTAACGACTAGATAACAAACCGATATAAAATAAAATAAAGATTAAAAAAATAATAATCGCCAACCAGAAATTTTTCACGCCAAACTGTTCTTTTTTTTTGTATCATTTTGCTGCAAATTTTTTATGCTTTTTTTGTGTGTTTCAATTTTTTTACATTTTACGGAATGTTTTTTGTTTGTTTTGTTAATATTTATCTTTGATTAAATCACAGAAACGAGAACTTATAGTTTAGTATAGATTAATATTCGCCTAAGGGTAAGAAAACGTTAAGTGTTACTTTTGTTAACTTGAATATAAAAATAGATATAGTGAGATCATTACATATATCAATGCCCTATTATTATTACAACTATTATTTAATTTAAGTCTTGTACTAAGGCACGTTGAGGCACTTTAGACGCATCAATAGCTTTGTAAAATTTGAAACTTGAATACTGTGTAGAGATAATGTTGATTGAGATCATGTGTCAAACATTTTTTTGGGTAATTTTGTCCAAACAATCAAACTACCATTAAAAATTAAATAACGCAACAACCGCCAACAATAAAACTGTGAACAACTCGAGTGTAAAAATCGCCAGCACTCGTAAGTCTCCAAAAAATAAAATCAAAATAAATTAGAAGTAAACGTTGTCGACTTCTGTGGGAGTTTCAGGTTGTCCATAGGTGGGACTTTCAAATTCCCCACTGGTGACGTATTTATCTTGAGTAGCTCTGGGTTCTGGTGTTTGCACAACAGCGCCTTCAACAATTTGATCCACAAACTGAACTAGATTTTCCAGCATGGATTGTTCAACGCCGGTGGATGCGCAAATATCCACGGTGACAATCAATGGCACTGGGAGTTTAAGTCCTCTGTAAGCGGAGGTGATGCATGCGGCGGCTATCAAAGATGGCGGTGTTTGAATACTGTTCGTTTCTGAAACAATAAAGAAAATATAAACTTAAAATTAAAATTACACAACGGTGTGCAAGCTAAAAATAAAATAAAAGCATTGAATTGGTTTTTAAGGGTTGAAGGTTTAAGGTTTAAGGAGAGCTTGAATTTCTTTGCAAAGGGTGACGCCTCATAAAAAACGGCCTGTAACGGAATCTAGGAGTACACTGCATACTGCACCTCCTAACACGGGGCTACTTAACATATCCGCTCCCTGTTAACTAACTACTTCTTGTTAGGAATGCTAAAAACTAACCGTCATTCTCTAATAACATTTTCTTCATATGTTTATATGCAGTAAGTATCTATGGCTGGTTGTGTGTTGTGTTATATAACGTCGTGCAACGAATAAAAACGAAAACAGGTAGAAATTATTCAATAATAACTCGTGTATGTGTATGCGCTGAGTATGCGCACCTGGCGTCGCCGGCACAACTTAGGTAAAAACTGATCTTTTATTATTTTTTCCAGAACTAAAGAGACTTGGCTTTGCAATGGGTGCAAAACTCATTGTTGACAACAATTAACTGTAAAGCAGGTAAAATCTCAGACCGCCAAACAACTATTTAGTTTTTTGTAACTAAAAATATAGTTTTAGCAGGAAAAAGATTGAAAAATATTTTGTCAACCCAAAAACACTTAAATTCTGACTTTTCTGCTCCTATTATAACTGTATTTATTTCGGTATTAGTTGCACCTTGTGTTTTACTTCCTCGTCTCGTCAAAATTCCAGGTTTCGCGTGTCTAAAGTTTTTTGTTTTATTTTTTGTATCAAACTAACTTAACTTGTTAAAAATTTAATGTTTGTAGGAAAAATAGTAGTACGCAAGCGTGGAACAACGTCGTACTACGTCCGTGTGGCGTGGCGGCAGCAATTATGAATGCGGCAGGTGGCAGACAACAGGTACGCGCACACCGCGTGCACCTTGCGTTTGGGGCGCAGTGCGCCCGCTCGCGAGATGTCTTCGATTACTACGCGGTTAAATCTTTGGACGCAGCGCGCTACGCAGCTGGCATCTCAACTTCAAAGACATTTAATTTCCATTTAAAAACGTATCTAATCATTTTTATATATTTTTCTTAAAAAATAAAAATAAATTGATAACGCCAGGTGCAAAAATAACGTATGTAATATTTTCTGAGACATTTTCCAAGTGTGCACATTGGGGTCTTTCCCTCCGCTTGCTTCACAAGAAAACCATGCGCCGCGTAACGAAAACACTTATTGTTATCGGTACCCACCTGGGTAGGGCGCCTTATTAGAACCTTATTCTTCACCCTAAAATGTCTCCGCACATGTATATATTGTTAACGTCACTTCGGGAATATTTTCAACAGTCAAAAACTTACGGTGTTCCAAAAAATCAGATATGAAACACGTATGTAATATCGCATCGAGGGAACGCAATTACAGCTGGTATGACTATATGACTATGACCATACATCTGGATCCGGAGTAATGTGAGTGCCTGTACAGTACACTTATTCAAACACCGAACACACTAAAGTCAGGTGTCACATATTTACACTGCAGGAGCAATCGCTTAAATATCCCAACGCGCCGATAAAACACGACCCACTTCCTGGTATGGTTACTGATGCGTGTGACCATTGGACACCAGGGTGTATTTTATAGCCGATTGCTTTCTATTTCTAAACAATGGGAAATATTAAATTTGGCACGTGCCAGCACATCTGTTACCAGAATATTTTAACTTTAATTTTAAAATCTATATATATATATATATATATATATATAAATGAATTGCTGTTCGTTGTTAGTCTCGCTAAAACTCGAGAACGGCTGAACGGATTTATCTTATCTTGGTCTTGAATTATTCGTGGAGGTCTAGGAGAAGGTTTAAAAGGTGAGAAAAATTCGAATAATTGCCGGGAAAATCCTCAAAACAGCTCTTTTCTATAGAATAAAATTTGACATTGAGATTCAATCATAGTTATAGTTAAATAGATGAATTCGAGATGGCGCGCTGAAGTGCATTATTGACAAAACTTTATATAATTAATTTCTTTAAATTAAAATTGCTAATCTTATTGATAGAATTGACACTTACTACGAGTATGTCTAGAACAAGAGAGTAAAAACGAATTACATTTTTATTAAACACTGCCGGAACAAAGTCGCGGGCAACAGCTAGTAAAAAATAAATTTTTTGTTTAAATATAAAATTAGTGTGATTTATTTGATGTATAAGTGGCAGTTATATTCAAATAACGGGCGTTCGACTAGGTTGGCAAACACGACGCGATTTCCCTTTCGAGGGTACTTTCTTGATGAGGGGTTAGAAACCAGATTACCTACGCAGACGCCAGTCGCAAGAAAACAATGCAAGTAAAAGTCTTGTTGCGAAAGGGACTAGCGAAAGCTATGTACTCGTACATAGCATACCTCGAAACATGAAGGGTGAGTAAGATTGCCCTCCAACTACCCCCGGTCGTACCATACACACACAAAAGAAGTGCATTCCGGCTTTGAACTCGCAAAGATTTTTTGCTTTCTTACGCGACCATAATAGAAGGCTCACTGCACCCTGTCTGGTGGTGTATATGTACACCTGGCCTCCTCCCGAAATCCCGACCTGACCTGACGTAAGCTCGCGTGTTGCGTCTTTCAATGCAAAAGACGATCGACCCGATCGACCGCCGTCTCGTCGTCTGCACCAGCACACACGCGGATGTGGATTTATTTCTTTTGCTTGTGCTTCGGGGTGTGCGCGGATTGAAAGCGATTTGGCGAACAATACCGTCTGCGACCCGGTCGCTTAGGGTAGTCACCATTGTGTCTGGCATCTTGCGTCTTAAGATCTGCCCTGATTTGTTTCCAGGTGATACCGACCGAGGGTAAAGACACCCCCGTTGGAATGGCACGCGACTGCCGGACATCATGGTTACATACAATTGCACGCGACACCTTTAGCTTGTCTTCCCTTTCTTTAAGATGTTTTGTTGGCTTTGGGAGTTAAAGCAAACAATGATATTGGCTTTGAATGCAGCTGCCATAATCACAAAGTTACACAAACCAAGAAACTGAACACCCGTTCGATATCAAACTTATCTAAATAAAATTCAAGCGGTTTATATATATATACATTGAAAAGTGAAAGTCAAAAATGAATTGGTTTGTCCTTGATGCAAAACATCTGGATGTAGCTGCTGGTAGCCCTTTAAAAATGGCGAAATTTAAATGCCCGAATCGCGACATGTGCTTTTCGCTGCACCTGGACTCCACCACTCACCACGAAATCAAAGCATAAGCTTCACGCGCCGAAAAAAAATCATAATAAAAACTCGCGAGCGCCGAGGCATCTGTTGCTATTTGCTGTACAATGAATTTGCTCAACCTACAACCACACCATCAGTATAATAATTCGCTTTAACTGGTTTGGGGTTTGCTCTCTACTCTGCGTATCGACATGTGCTTCATTTGCAATTTCTGCAGCGCGTCGAAACTGGTATGGGCGGTCGCGACCCCCGAACGACCCTTTAATATGCACCTTGTCCGCGCATTATTACGCATTACACCCTCGAATGGTGTAATAAAATCGCGTGCAGGAATAACTTGCTGCCACCATTCAAGGTGTGTGCGCATACTTTTACACTCTACCCTTACGCAGCTGTAGGTAAGTAAGCAGATGTCAAGTAAATCGAATAAAGCACATAAAAAACTAGCAGCGCGATGAAGCGCGTTAGGGGTGGTCATCGGGGGAGTACCACCACACCAATTCGATGACAATTAGTGCATGAAAGTTCAATATTTACACACCACATTTTCTATAATGATGGAATGTTTGGGTATTAACTTGGTGACTTACCGGTGTAGAATACTGCAATGAGGGTGTGCGCGTGACGACGGAGCAAGTCCTGATGAACACCCCATGGATGACGACTGATGATCTGATCGACATAGTCAAAGGCAGTGATGGACGCCAAATTCCACTTCAGTTTGGATAACACCAGTAATTCCCAACTCTGTAAACATAGAATTAAAAAATAAAATGAGTGTCATCCTTAGGGTTGGTTGTGGTCATACCATGACCACATAAATTAGATGCGCGACCAATAATCCTAATTGTGAGAACTGCAGATGAAAAAATGCAGATCTATGCCTTTACCTTTGCCTCCTAAGAGGGTTCAGAACAAAAAATAGAATAAACTAATATAAATAATGCACCGCTTGTTATTTATCCTCTCGCGCTGGGTCTCTATGCGTTTTCGATCAAGGAGGGCGCAGGACAATAGCTTGTAGCATTACGTAGAATGCAGTTTAAGGGAGTCTCGAGGGATACGTTGTTTCCCACAGCGCAGGCAAGGTCAAGAAAATTCGCGACAACCGAATATCCCACGTGAATTTATATAATATACTTCCCTAGCTTCCGATTTGTATATCCGTTGGGATATCGGTTACAAAATAATGAAATTATAGGCCAAGGAAGTCTCTGCTGTAACTAATAATATGTGCCCTTTTTTCAATCGCTTCCGTATTCACTTAAGCTACAAGACGTTTGTAACTGACAAGACAAAAAATAATTGTGGTTAAGTTTTGGTTGAATGATTTTTTCTTTAAATTTAATATTTAATCAATTTGTATGGAGTTACCCCAAAAGTCGATAATCAATAAAAGCAGGTCGTCTTGAGTACTTAACAGCTATTGTAATTTAATACGAGCTAATGATCGTTACACATTAAAGACTTTAAGGGGATGAAAAGCTTGAAAGACACCAAATGTTGTTGAGTGTTCTTTTGGCGGGTGAAATTTCTTCTTCAAGACATATGTCGCGATGAGTTACGCTCAGTGCACCAGAACGCGCGCCTCTTTCCTAACGACTTTCCACGCAACCGATGTTCCAGAAAACACCACAAGACGTAAAATAAACACATACAATTAATAAGCACCCTTAGTATCAAGTACCTATAGCTATATATAATTTACTTCCTTGGATTCCACGCAATTCAACCGTTTTGATGCAAAAAAAAAGCAGAAAAATTACAAAGTCACCCTTATTCCCACACTTATTGTAAGAAAAGCGAAATTCAATCCACCCCAAACCCACATGCGAAGCTTGCGTCAATAATCGCAATCGCAATCACAATCGCCATCATTTGACATCGTTTACGAAAAGTTCGGTCTCACCGTCAAGGTGTTTCGGATGTGATGTGAACCTTATATGGGAATTTTGTCCTTTGTGCAAGGGTCCGGTCCAATTCCGATACGGGCCACCTTTCGGCACCGTTTTTTCGGGGAGGGTATAGGCGCATAATAGAAAAGGGATGAGCACAGAGGCGACAAGAATGGAATAGAAGCAAAACCGGAACACGTTAAATATTTTGAATCTATGATGAGGTGAACTACCCGAAGACGAATATGAATAGAAAAAAACGGATATTGGAGGTGCTTCCCATGAAGAAAAACAGGGTCATAAAGATCTACATAAACCAACATCCCTAATATTATATACCCAACTACGAGGTGAAGACAATTATTTCTTACGCAAGTGTAGGCACGAAAAATATAAAAGTTTAAGAAAAAAATTGAAAGTTGCCCAACCGGAAGGATGTACGATGTGAAATTATGTTAATGTGTATCAAAGATGAAGGATAAATCACATCCTTCCTGTATTACTCAATACCAAAACCCCAAAGATACCAATTAAGATTTTATGTCACAAAATTCAGATTATGAAAAAAACGCGGTGATTACACGACCCTCGCAAAGGAAGTTTTATATTTGAAGGTGAGACAATTGTCATCCGGCAATTTTATCAGCAGGATCTCCTAAGATTGTAGACGCGTGCAAAGTCAAGACTTTATGACATGCTGCGTGGGTTCTACAAAGACCGATATGCTTGATATATAAATTGGCCCTTTCCGTATCCGATGCACCCGAAGTGCGCACGTATCTGGAGATCTCTAATGTCTCAAGACACGTGCGAGGGTCGCGTGCGTGAGCAACCACCTTGAATCCTCTTCCCGGACACGACATAATGACACAAAACACAAAATCGACCGCAACTAATTTCGTATCTTACAAATTACCTCCGTTGTAAAATATTGCAAAAGTGTTTGGTATAGTACAATATAGAAAAATGGTAACTCACCGAAATGTGTTCGTGTGTGACACTGTAGTCGGTGTATGCACAGAGGAGATCAATGGGAAGGTGCGACGATGAGCGCACTTTGGAGGCGAGAAGCAGACAGGTAGCGCCGAGCATCTGCAGCTGCTGTCGTTTTATGTTGCACGCGCAGAGAAAACGGTCCATGTAGTTGATCGCCAGCGGCAGTACCTGATCCTCGCACATTTGTTCCTCACACACCTACACCAACAAACAACAAGTGTAAAAACTTCCATCAAACAACAAAAACTAGAAATAAATTAATTTTATTTAAACAAATGTACCTCCAGCATCCATGTGGTGACCACTTTGCGCATGAACGGCTGCAAATCCGTCTGGAAAGTGTTGAAGTAATTGAAAGACGGCACGTAGAGATGTTCATCATTAAGAAGATTCAGTAACACGCGGTCGTCTGAGAAATACGTGGGATCTAGTTTAGCGTATAGAGATGAGTCAGCTTGTGGGGATCTCGCCATTTCGAAATTTAAAAAACGGTTGATCCGCAAATCCAAGGAAACGCGTTAGAAATAGTTCTAATTCACTTGTTGATCACACAATTCAATCGTGTGTATTAAATGTCACTTAGCACACTTAGTTCATGTTAACTTTAGTATTATATTGATGAGATTTTGCAAGTTGGGGTTCGTTGTTGCAGACAGCGGGGTGCCGATGTCGTTGAAAGTCGTCTATGAAAACACAAGTTCACTAAAACCGACTCGGACGCAGACTGAACGTAGGGCGCTCGCTCGAACACCAAGCACGTTGTGGAATAAGCAGTCGCGTGTAGCGCAACGGTTTTATAACTCTTGGGGTAGGCAAGAGCATGCGCACTATAAGATTAAAACTTCGCACACCTGGTAAAGTTTGAGCTTTTCAGGTAGATTACGGGCAACGTTTTTGAATTGTCGCTTTTAAAGTTATAAATATCAAGAATTTTGGTATAAAATAGCAAGATTTTAAATGTTTAAAGAAATTAAACACTCAAAATGCCTCAGAAATCATGAAAATGAAGAAAATTACCTGAAATGCATTAAAATGTCACTTAAAATTGTAATTTTCCAAGAAAATGTTTTCAGAAGTAATTTGCAGCTTACTACATATCAAAAAGTTCATTAAAAGTTATTGTTTAGTAACATTATCGAATAAAATCAACCCATTACTCATTTTGCATTTTTTTCTTGTCTTCCAAGTCGAAAATGACTTAAATTTAAACAAAATAAAATCAACAATCTCCTAAATTCGTCAATACGAATTCCGCCACCTTAGAAACGAGTGCGTGCGTCGTTGATCGCTGTCTTACCTCCGCCCATAACACAACTAGCTAGGGCACCTAGAGAAAAGAAGTCTCTGCTAGGGTACGCATTTTTCCGGACTTACCTGTTACAACAATTCTTCCTTGACATCTGCTACACATTGCTTTATATTAGATCCAAAGGTTTTTTTCATCTCTTCTCTCGTGTCTAGTATAATGATAGTCAAGGTATTGGCTTACCTTCATCTTTGTACTTCTTAGTACCATTTTTATATAAAAAATATTGAAAAAGTAAAAAATCTTAATATTCATAAGCAGATGTGATGGCACGTGTTGCATATTATTTCTTTGATCCGTTTTTTAAATTTCTACAGCAAATAATGTTAATATAAATTAGAATAAAATTGAAGCGCATGTAAATTTCGCGTTCCTCAAGTTCACACAGTAAAATTTGTGTGTCCGCAATTAGTCCGCGGTCATACCCTGCAATTAGGGCGCATAATTGCGTCGCAATTGCGCGTCCCACGCACAATTTTTTTCCGGTGACATACCGACACAGAAAAAGTAACCCTAATATTCAATACATGCATGATCCGTGTTTGCGTGTGTGTATGTCAGACTGTCGCATGTTGATGCACGCATGTGGTTTTTGGTTTATCGCATCGCAATGATCTACTTTTAATTGCAATCGCATGGATAGGATAGGGTTACGATGACACAAATTGCACTTTTGCGCTCGCTTGTTCGCCGGCGTATATTCTTAAACGTCGTAAACCTATTATCACATTTATATGTATACAAAAAAAAGAAGAGTGCAAGCCTGCCGTGGTTGCATCGCAATAATACTCTTAACTAGTAGTTAATCAATAATCGTATTTTACATAACAGGACTCTGCCGAGAGTGATTAAGTTCGAAATGAAACTAATTAAATAATGTAATATACAAGTGAAACGCAATAAAAATAAAAATAAAAAATATATATACGAATGTATATGAAACTATCTTAATACTATGATCGATAAATTTCATTTCTTTTCTCGCATCATCTGCTTAAAAATATTTGGCTCTAGCTGACGCCGTTCTGCTTAAGCTTTTCGCTTGTATTCGGCGTGCGCGACAAAGCCCGCAGCTTCTTTACCTGCTCCTGCGTCAGTGTAATGCGGTCACCAGTTTCGGTACCGCGGATCAGCTGTTTCACCCTCTCGGTCGTCAAGTGAGTGAGATCAATTTGCATCACTTCTTCCTCACGATTGGCAACGTTATTATCCAGCGAACGCCGCTTACTTTTGAACTCAGACTTCTCAGTTGTAGGTGGTTGTAGGCTCATGCGCTGATTGTGCGTCTTAGCGCCTGCTTTCACCTTCGCAACCTTCGAGATGCCTCGGTTTTGGATGCGCCGCAGCACTGATTTTGCGGCTGGAACAGTTTGCTTTGGCTTCGTTGGGTGTGGTGATTGAGGCACTTGCGGTGCTTCCTCCCGTTGCTCTTCGTCAGAGTCTAAACATATCACTTCAGATGGCGCACTTTTGGTTGTGGATTGGTTGACTTTATGAGGCAATTGATTACCAGCTGGCTTATCGGCTGCCGCAGTGGCCTTCGTGATTAGGTCTTTTACCTGTTGGCAAAGGGTTGTTAAGTTAAACTTGAAGGATTACTTGTTTACTTTTAATCTGAACAAACGATTACCGATAAACGGGGTTAATGTCAGGAAAAACCCAAATATTTAAATAATTCTACTAATTTCGTGTTAAAATAAATTAATTAAGTGCTACAACATTTAGAAAGCAAATAAAATCTTACCCTTTGTTTAAATTCAGTCTTCGTCATGTCATTTTGATCAATAATTTGAGCAATCGCCTTCTTAAACTTGAGACTTTTACCCTCGGCTTCACGTAACGCACGCCTTGCATCTTGCACGCGGTCGTACATCAAGAATTTTTGCGCCTCGGATAATCGCATAATGCCAAAATCTCCAATTATCTGCAAAGCAAACGAGAGGGTCAACATGCATGCGTTTCACCAAACACTTATCCGTCCACAATAGCTGATACTTACACAAATCTCCTTGAAATACTTCTGTGAAATAACTCCCCGATTGATATATTCAAGATAATGCGCTGGTCCCACCGGCGTAACGACAATCTTAAACGTCGAGGGTATGCAGATAAACACTTCGTGCAATTCTCTGCAATAAATTGTAATATTTACAATCAATTCGTGATTTTATTAGGATTAGTCAACTTACCGACTAAGCCACTGAACAGCATTCTCTAACAACGGGAAGTAAAACTGTTTCTTGTTGTCACCAGGCCAGTAAACAAACACCTCCTTGTCGATAACATAGGCAAGTATAATGCCGTTGCCAAAATTCAACCGGAAGCAAATTGGTTTCGCCAACTTGGGCAGATACATATTCATTTGTTTCATGATGATTTTCAATCGCATGTTGAAACATTTTTCTAGATTCGTCGAATCTATTCCTTTGGCTTTGGATACAATATTATCCAATGTAGCAACATTCATCAGTTCCTCCATGTTTTCCCGAGAATTAGCCTGAGTTATGTTTTTGTTTAATTTGTTTGCCTTTAGTGGAATTTTAATCAATTCAGGCATTTTACCTGGTGGAGGCAGGTTGTTCACATCAACATGCTCGAACCCATTATGCATAGGTTTCACAAGTTTCTTATTACGTTTCAATGTTAAATCTACTTTCTGTGATTTTAAAGAAACGTCTGTGGATTTGGGAATTGATATAACTGTATCTTCAATCGCAATGATATCGGACGCTGGTTCGGATTTGATCTGAACTGCATTTGACTCACTTGCAAGTTCCTGAGATGATTTCCGATGAGTTTTCTTTTGCGTTGGTACAGATACAGGTGTAGGTGTAATTGTAAGGTCTGAAGACTTCATCAATCCCTTCATTTCATCCATATCTGTGAGATCTATAACAGGTTCACCTTGTTTATCAGCTGGTGAAACCGGTGGTGGTTCAGAGACGCGGCCATATTGCGAATACCAGAGTCCAGTGTTCGATACATTTTTGATTCCTCGCATGGCATTAAAATCGTCGGTGTTCATCAACTCGTTATTAACAAACCGCAGTGTTTCCAATCCATGCTCTTCATCATTATAATAAGGCCCGATAAAAATCCTGTCCTGTATTGTTGGCGGTACATACAAACCAAACAATTTGTGTTTGTAATTCGCTGACACTTCATATGTATTGATAACAATTGTCTTCTTATACCTGCCAGCTACTTTCATAACAGTTAAAATATCGCTACACTTAATACGGAACTCGTTCCGTGTGAATGCTAAGATGGCAAAGTTCGAGTTTATCATCAGGACTCTCCACCTGCAATTGCTGAGTATATGTGGTAGAGCAGCAGACAATCTTGGCTCAGCCATACGCGCTTCTTTCTTATTCATCAACAGTAACTTTTTGGGTGCAAATGTACCATTAGCAAACAGAACATGTTCAACAGTTTTGTAATACTTTTCGTTAACCTTTTGAATGACTTCTTTTACCACCCCATTGGTACTATCACTGCTTGTATCCGCTTGATTTTCTTGTTGTGATTGTTCATTTATTGCATTATTTGAAGTTTGATTGTTTTTCGAACAAATACCGCAAATCTCCCAATACGGATCATTAATTTTCAGTATCACTAAAATGTTGTCGCTGTTCTTCTTGTCAGGAACTGTTTTCGTAACAATCCACTTGATAAACTCCACTTTGATACTGTTAGGGTCGGCCTTCTCATACTCACGAATATTATTGTATCCTCCTTTCGGATTCGACATCGAATCGGTGATGATAAAGCGCAGTTTACTAGTGTTATTGCTGATCCAAATATAGACTGCATTACTTTCATACAGTTGTACTAAAGCCGCCCAGAGTAATAATCGGAATTCATTTAAAGGTGTTGTTTTATTACCAATCATCGCGGAGAATTGTTGACTAATAGCCTCTGTTGGCGAATATAAAGCACCCGAGATTGTCAACGCTCTTCCTATAATTTTCAATGTTCTCGGTTTGGTTGTGTTTGTAAGATTTGCAAGCTCATCAGTTGTTTTACGTTTACGTTTCTTACGTGTTTTAGTAGTATCATTCCCGATGGACTCATCATCGTCGATGTTAACAATTTCGTTTTCTTCCCATGGTAAAGGTGCGAGTTTCTTTGAGTCTCTTTTTGCGAATATTGTAGCAATCGCATCCTTTTTCGGCATGTTATGGTCTAGTGGAAGAATAATCCACCTGTTTACTATTTCTGGGTCCACTGTAGTGTCGTATTTAAGTTTACGAGCCATCATGTTTTTAAACTTATTAGTTCGGTTCCTCTCGCGGAAGAACTCACCAGTTCCACGCATACGTGCAGATAAACCTTCGGGATTACTAGTGCTTTCTTCTTTTGTTTTTACATTATGCACATTATGAACAGACTGACTCAAAGGTATTTCTGTAAGTTGATGCTGGTGCTTCTCTGATGTGATACCAAGTTCCATGGCTGATTCTGGTTTGTGCTTTGCTGACCACAACCTATTCAATCTATCATTCTCAGAATGACTGTATTTAGCGAGACCTTTACAATGACAATCATACAAATTATGTACCAAACAATACGGAACAATATCATCAAAGTTACACCTGACAAGATTCACAACGCAGTTATTAAGTTTCTTATCAGTTTGAATGATTTTCTGTGTGACAGCTTCAGAGAGAACTTTCTGAGGTGTCGCCTTCGTAGAGTCATCAATGAAACTAAAGTGAAAACCTTCAAATCGTTTAAAGTTGAATTTCGGTGTTCGTTTGCTGACGCGATTATTAGCAAGGATGATTGTTTTATTCTTGGATCGAATCGCTGTTTGCGTAAAATCTCTTTCCTCTCGAGCGGTAATGTTACGCTTTGCTTCCTTATTGAATCGACTGAGTGTTCTCTCATTGAGCAAGCTTTTGGAATCTTCTTTACTCTCATTTTTGCAGCGTGCTTCAAAGCCGCAAACACAATTGAATATGCATCGTGTTTCGCCGCAATGATTCGAAGGCGGATATCGACTGGATATACTATGACATACACAACCGAGCAGACAATGAACGCTGCATGACATTGGTTTCTCTTCTTGAGGTTCAGATGGTTCATCATTAGGTACATTTACAGTGCGTACACTTAATCTACGCAATTCGCAGTGGACTCGATCATATTCCAGCTTTTTCTTCGGTTGTGTGGTGGTTTCCTTATTTTCTTCTTTTTTATTATCATTACCCACTGATGCCAATTGTACATCTAGATCACTATCGACTTTGCTCTCGACATCAGTATCATATTTGAGCAAACTGTCTTCTAACTCTTTCACCTCTACATAGTCCAACATTTTTGAGATAACATGTTCACACGAATGTAAAATGTCTTCTTCAGTTTCCGGTTTGTTATTTATTTTTTCCTTTTCATCCTCGTCGATGAATTTTTGTTTCTTCTTTACATATTTTGGGATGCTCCTGCGCATCATGACTTTCTCCTGTTTGTGTTTATACCCGGCTGGAAATTGGAAAGGTTTCACATCTTCTTTGCTTTTAGGATTATCACCATCAACCAGGACACTTAATGCAAACTCAGCTCTTCCTTTCGAGACATCAAACGTGTCGAATTTAACAAAATGACGAACGACTGGATCAACTTTTTTACCAATCTGTGGTTTAACTTCAACGTGGACTTTCGGAAGTGGCACAATAACAGTTTCCCAATCCTTGCATCCATTCACCTGCAACTCCTGCTTCTTGCATAATGGTCCAGGACGATAATTCACTGTAGGAGTAGCTTTCAAAATAGAAGGTTTTACTTTTTGATAATTGCACACGGATTTCGGTACAAGATCAAAGTTGCCCTTTCGCTTGATATCAGTAACTTTATAATAAAACGTTTTATTCACTGGTTTTCTGGTGACAACTGAAAACGTGAGAAACTTAACACTCGAGCGGAACTTGAATTGAGATTTGACGCAATCTTTGGGCGCAGATTCCTCCTCGGTAAGAAATTGAATGTCGTCATTTTCCTGAGCCAGCTGTGGAACAATAGTGGTCGGATCAAAAGGTATCAATAAACTTTCATTATCTTTATCATTATCAAGACTTATATCCTCGATTACAGGAGACTCAAATCTAGATGAAATCGGACGTCGGGAAAACTTCTTCGCTTTGAATTTTTCTGCTCTTCTTTTCTTCGGTTCAGCACCGTCAAATTCATCCGACATCATCTTCCTCTTCTCAGCCAAAGTTCTCGGTTTGTACACATTTGAATGTTTAATTTCTTCTTTGTCTTTCTCTTTAACATCGCCACATGAATTGGAATCTTCGGTCTCGGCAAGCTCAAGTTCTTTTCGCTTCTTATCCATCTCGACATCGACAAGAACGCAGGAATCTAGTAGATTAATATTATGATTCGTGGATTTCAAATTTGGAACGTTATAGCTAATATTCAGGTCTTTTTCTTGTAGGAAACCATCTAAACTATTGCTGGCGAATACATTACCCGACCCATTGTTCTCGGATCGAGTCTCTTCGGCAGATCCAACTAAGTATGAGCAACTCGGAGTTGGATCTTCACCAACTTTCGAATCAACATCATCTACACTTTCAATACATTCATCTGCATCAAGTGTTAGCAGTTTTTTCTTGCTCCAACCTTTAATCTTTTTATAGTCCTTCGTTTTTGTGAGTTTGATGGTAGGTAAATCAAGATGATCATTGATGATGACTTCTTTCAGAGACGAATTTTCGTCAGCATCAAGATCCACAGGATTCAGTTGTTTACATTTGTCAAGATCAACTCCACCAGCAACAGAGACAATTTTAAGTCCTAATTTAGGAAAGGATGTATCTGTAGAAGGTTTAACCGCCTGTGCTTTCGGTGCTCTCTTTTTATAATGTGTACCAGTAAAGTCAGGAATCTTAGCTTCAAATAAAGATCCTGCTTTCTTCTTTACTTTTAACATTTGCAGCTGACTGCAGAGTTTTTCCCTCATATCAATGCCATTAACAACCTCATTTTCATCTAGATTTTCAACATTGTCTTCATCCTCGTCTTCTTGATCTTCATTATCATGCTGATCTTCCTCTTCAGTAACAAATTCTCCACTTTCCATCAACCATGGAGGTTTCGTCAATCGCCCAGTTCTCCTTTCGCTTTTCCTCACGCATCCAATTATAGGTTTCTTTGGTTTTTCGTCTTCATGGTTTACATTCCCTTTTGCTTGTGATTCTTCAACATGTCCGTTTGACAAAGACACTGTTTCAGGTTCATCGTTATTCTCATTCTCACTTTGAAGTTTCTGCTCAATTAGCTGTGCCATTTGCAGTCGACTATGTTTTGTGATTGGTCGTAAAAATGGCATCTCAGAAGGTAACTCATTCTTATGTTGAATCGATTGGATTGGAATCAATTTAGGTAATTCTTTATCTTCAGTTGAATTAACGTCAGATGTAGACACCTCCTCTTGAAGCAAAGGTGGTTTATCCATTTCTCCTACAAGACATGCTTCTTCAATTTCTTCTTCTACTACAATCATCAATGTCTCTTCTTCTGGAGAATTTAATGCATCTTTTTACAATTTACTTGAATTTCTTCACATGCTTCTACATCTGTAGCAATATATTCTAGTGTACTTGCTGTTGAGTGTTCTTTATCAATTTCATCTGGTACAGCCTCTTGTATTTCAATATTTGGAGGTGAATCTTCAATTACTTCTTGAACAAATATTTGAACACCTTGCATTTCTTCATTAGTATCATCTGTTGTTCCTATATACTCTTGTACAGTTGTGTCATACTCCTTAGAATCTATTTGTGTCTCTGCTTCATCAACAATTTCTTCAGAAACATTTTCAGGAACAACATCTGTAGATTCCTCCTCCTGTGTTGGATTTAATTGCTTGGTAACTACTGCACTATCTACTACAACACTATTTGTGGCAGCTTCATCATCAATAGTGTCAACTATTTTTTCAGTCTTGGCTATTTCTACTCCTACAGCAACCATGTGTTCATTGCCAACTTCATATTTTGCATGTGATGCAAAATCATTGAATGTTAAACCATCTTGAACACCCATGACTTCTTCCTTTTCATCATGTCGAACATATTCCTGATTGATTTTCAGTGCACTCGACTGCAGAAAGTTAACAGGCTCCATGTTTCAACCACTGCAGTCGACTATGTTTTGTGATTGGTCGTAAAATGGCATCTCAGAAGGTAACTCATTCTTATGTTGAATCGATTGGATTGGAATCAATTTAGGTAATTCTTTATCTTCAGTTGAATTAACGTCAGATGTAGACACCTCCTCTTGAAGCAAAGGTGGTTTATCCATTTCTCCTACAAGACATGCTTCTTCAATTTCTTCTTCTACTACAAGCATCAATGTCTCTTCTTCTGGAGAATTTAATGCATCTTTCTTACAATTTACTTGAATTTCTTCACATGCTTCTACATCTGTAGCAATATATTCTAGTGTACTTGCTGTTGAGTGTTCTTTATCAATTTCATCTGGTACAGCCTCTTGTATTTCAATATTTGGAGGTGAATCTTCAATTACTTCTTGAACAAATATTTGAACACCTTGCATTTCTTCATTAGTATCATCTGTTGTTCCCATATATTCTTGTACAGTTGTGTCATACTCCTCAGAATCTATTTGTGTCTCTGCTTCATCAACAATTTCTTCAGAAACATTTTCAGAAACAACATCTGCAGATTCCTCCTCCTGTGTTGGATTTAATTGCTTGGTAACTACGGCACTATCTACTACAACACTATTTGTGGCAGCTTCAGCATCATCATCAATAGTGTCAACTATTTTTTCAGTCTTGGCTATTTCTACTCCTACAGCAACCACGTGTTCATTGCCAACTTCATATTTAGCATGTGATGCAAAATCATTGAATGTTAAACCATCCTGAACACCCATGACTTCTTCCTTTTCATCATGTCGAACATATTCCTGATTGATTTTCAGTGCACTCGACTGCAGAAAGTTAACAGGCTCCATGTTTCAACCACTGTGCAGCAAATACCTAAAAATTACATATAATTAGTTAAATGATAACACACTGCACATATTAAACTAATTATTTAATTACTTGACACTTATTCTCCACACTTCTCATTTTTAACATTTTCTATAGAGTGCTTTAAACATGGACGCTCAAGGATTGTCGAATTTGCGCGCGCATTAATAACTGGTATACATAAAAGACGAATGTATTTTAAATACATTACACACAGGATAACAATGTTTCGATCGTTGCAAATAAACAGCAGTTAATTTCCGGATACAAACTGAGTTTGTTATCAAAAAAATGATTCGTAGATTAGCGCGAACTTTCAGATTAACCTCTGAAGATTCTTCAGATTGGGTAAGTCTAGAGCGTCGATACCAATGTGATGCAGTTTGACACTACACACCCGCACATACACGGATGAGAGCACGGCGTGAACGTGTGAATCACTACATGCGGTTCATTCTTCCCCAAATATAACAAATATTACAACAATAGCGAATGCTATTTCAGAATGCAAACAATTGCTTGGAATTACCATGTCCTCTGCGACGATCTTGTCTTGTGATGATTACATTCACTTCGTTATTACCATTGCTGGACGCAACGATTGCAATGAGCGTTATGGAGTTACACTAAACCGTACTTAGGCAGCCTGGTGGCGTTGGGCCGTGCTATGGTGCACGCACACCTTGTAATAACGCACAAGAAAACGTGATTTTTATCGTTGTGTACTGCGACGCGGGTGGAATTTGATGATTTAGCGAAGCGCGATGGTTTGCAGGAGACGACGTACGCGACGATTTGTACTCTGCGAACGGCAAGCTCGAATGATTCGGGTTGATAGCGGATGACGGCGGGCAGCGTGCGCTCGGCGGTTAACCAATCGACGCCATCTTGTATATGGTGCACTCTGTGAACGTAACACAACAAAATGGCCGACGAGGATACTCATACCCACCCAATACAGCTTTAATGTATCGTTATCAATTACAATGGTGAATTATTACAATTTGTTTATAACAATTGCAATTTTGACAGTCATCATAATATATATTTTTATATTCTGTATAGTTGTGTGTTATTCTATTGCTACATCAAGGTAGAATTAGAGAATCAATAAAATTATGATAAGTGACTTACCACTACCGCATTGGATTTGTTTTCTTCGCTGAGTTGAGTTCAAGATCACGCGCTGCAACCTGGGCAAAAACGACTGATGTAAACAATCTGTATTAGCGTTTTGTTTTAGAAACAAACTGACATTTGGAATACTAAAATCCATAACCGTCATTTGTTTCGTTTCTTCTAAGCCAGTATTTTCTTAACGAACAGCAAATGCGCTGTGTAATTAGTGCCAAAATACAAAGCTCTATCAAATTTGTCAATATTTATATAGTGTTAAATTGTATTAACTATTTCGAAGCTTTTAGGGTGTTTATTTGAAGGTTATGAATAAAAACATACCCGTTGTAACAATTCTACTAAAGCTCTAACATATCATAAAGGAAAATAATCTAAGTATAATTGTGATTTGGCACACACCTGCATTGATGGCTTGGTTATGAAAAAATATCCACAAGAGTTTCGGCAACACTTGGTAAACCTGCTTTTTTACAAGCATAGATGTTCACCTTGATTTAATATAGGCAAACACATATACATCACACGATACGTTAATGCATGCTTTTTCCTGCTGATATAAAACCAAGATAAATTTTAAATTTAAATAAGATATATTATCTAGTTCCGCTGATAAGATTAATCTGAAGTTAGTCACAATTACACAGAAAACACTGTCTTTATCAGGTTGGATGCCACACACCGCGACAGTACGAATAAACCGAATGAGCTGTGCAAGGTCTGTATGATCCGGAAGGAAAGATTTTAACCTAACTTTCTCAGCGAGAAAACATACCACTCAACAAATATTGTTTCTACATCCTCTTAATTGACAAATCTAGTAGTACTTCTTCAATTTACGTTAGATATTGTTACGCTGCCATTTTAGATTTGTAAGATATACTTGTTGGCACGTTTGACAGCTCATCAATTGCAGAGAATTAAACTCTTTTACTTACGATTGTTATTCGCGAATAACCGCTGCAGTGGAAGTTCCAGCAGAAAATGATGACTTCTTAATGTGACTCGCTTTCTGAAGTGGTGATAACGTCTTGAAACACGCTGGCGATGCAAGCGAAGCAACAAACAACGTGGCGTCATCAGTTAACTGCCGACCGCCATCTTGTTTATATCAAGCTGCAAATTGAAAATGGCGCTTGGTAATACATATACATTTGCTAATAACCTGAAATGTTTCTTAATTTACAAATTAAAACACAAATCTACTTACCAAATCAATGATTCTGATTATAAAATCACAATTATTAAATTAATCATCACTAATTTATAATTAATCTATGAATAAGTTATTTAATATGCTGTGTTCGTCTCAGAAATACACAGTAAATTATTTGTTTACTGTTCGTTGTTTTGTTTGCTACGTAATATATAAAAATACATAAAATCACCAATGAATTGATTGTGCAGTGAAAGTCTTAGAGATGTCGCCCTCATCTGGGTGAATATTTGAATTTTGCGTAGTTCGCCACCGCACCATAGGCGGCGCTAGTTGTATCACATTCAGAGAAATAATTTGTTTTTATTTCAAAATAAAATCTTCATTAACTAAATGAAAACACTGAATTACTAAATTAATATAATTTATAAACATAGAAATAACTCTCCGTAAGCATTCTACATTGTTTTATTCTCAACTGTGAGTTAATAAAAGCGTTTTTTCTTTAATACACCAACAACACGCTTTACAAAATTACAAAATTCAAAAATTTTATTATAAAAATAAAATAAATACGTGAACAAAATAAAACCTTAATAAATAATCTACATTTAATGCTCAACAAGTATTAATCGAAAAATAAACGTGAGTCTGTTTATACAATTTAGTAATTTGTTAATGTTGCATCCGCTCACTCTATCACACTTGTTACCGCCGCTTGCTTTCTGATATTTTGATGCAAAATCGAATCAATTCTTGGAGTGCGACGAAGAGCGTCAATTCCCGTGCGTTGCTGCGAGCTGGCATGGTCTGGGAGGCGCAACGCGGGCGCCACGACGCCGACGCAACAATACGGAGCCGCCGCGACCCATAAACCTGCGGCGCTGCTCACAGTGCGACGGAAGAGTTTCCAGGGCGGATCGCAGGACGTGAACGCATCGCGACTCCCGCACACTGTGCACACACGTCGAACTCCGCACCAGAGAGTATCTCGCGCCGCGCGTCGTCAAACTAGAAAATAAACGCGCATCTTATCCAGCAGCATCGCGCGCGCGCTTATTTTTAGCTTCTGAAGGCATTCAGTCGGTGGCAAGTTTTAATTTTAAAATCGCGAGTGCATCCAGCAGGAATAACTCGCATCAAAACTCGAAAACTTCCGCGCTGTGAGCGCAGATTTACGGATTTCAAACTGCTACAGCTGCTGTAATTAAACTTTTCCTAATTAAGTTTTTAATTAGTTGTGCAAAACGCAAAAAAATCACGAGGATTATAAACAAATTAAACGATGTGATTTGTTCGGTAGCTGAAAAGTGAGGTTATGTGCGCGTAAAAGTGTGGTTAGGTGTGAAAATATGCGTCGTAAAACTAGGCACACCGCACGATGAGAACAGAGGGATGGCGGTGGCCACCCTTTTGCTACTGGCGGCGGCGCTGGCCGTAGCCGCCCCCGACTGGACGGATTGCCCAACGCCCTGTCGCTGCAAATGGGCCTCGGGCAAGAAAACAGCCTCGTGCAGAGACGGGCCCTTTACGGGTCTGCCGGACACCTTCGACGGGGACATGCAGGTGTTGGACCTTGCGGGCAATTCGATCCACAAACTGGGCAAAGATGCATTTCAACGCGCCGGGTTACTAAATCTTCAACGTATATTTTTAAAGGGTAATTCCCTTCGGGAAGTGCATCGGGACGCGTTTAGAGAACTCATAATTCTTGTAGAAGTGGACTTGTCGAATAATGAGATAACCTCATTGGACCCGGAGACGTTTAGTGGGAATGAAAGACTACGAGTGCTGTATTTAAGTGGTAATCCATTGGGGCAGTTGGTGGAAGGGCAATTTCCACCTCTGCCTCACCTGAGGACGTTGGACTTTGAATCGTGTCGCTTGGAGAAAATAAATCCGAATGCATTCGTAAATCTTGTGGCGTTAGAATCTTTGAATCTCAAAGGTAACAAGTTGGCGAATCTCTCCGAAGAGACTTTAATGAATTTCGCGCATTTGAAGAGTTTGGCTCTTGATGGTAACCCGTGGAAGTGTGATTGTGACCTGCGCGGTTTCCGTGACTGGTTCTTATCGAGTAATCTGCGGTCGATGAGTCTTGGATGTGCGGAACCGGAAGAGTTGCGTGACCACCTGTGGGAGGACGTACCCTCCGAACAGTTTGCGTGCGCGCCGCAGGTGTACCTCACACCATACCCGCAGGTACAAGCGGAGGCGGGCGGTAATGTAAGTTTCGGATGTCATGTGCTTGGAGATCCCGAACCGGAAGTGACGTGGATGTACGAAGGTCGACCAATCAACCACACCTGGCTGATCGTTGAAGCCGAAGAGGGTCTGTTGGACAAGTGGGTAAACATCAGCGTAGTGAATGTTAGTGATGCCGACGCTGGGGTGTATTCCTGTGTAGCACGAAACTCCCTCGCTACTCTTGGTAGAAACGTCACATTAGTTCTACCGGAAGTAGTAACGGCTACTACTTTAAGTAAATCTGATCCCGGCGCGGTGTGGTGGGCTTCGGTTGCGGTTGGGATTGCTGTAACTGGATCCGCCATTTGCACCTTAGCTGCGGTGTGTTGCATGCGAGCGAAGAACGCGCGTAGAAGGCGTCAGCTCAAGGCCAGCGTTAGTTTCACCGACCAAGAGAAGAAGCTACTGGATGTGAGCATTGCTACCACTACTGATCGAGGTGCTGGTAGTTGTGAAGCACTATCACCGGATGGCGATGGTTTAATGGATTCGCCTAGTACGCAACCACCACCCGTACACATCACCATTGAGAGTCATCATCGACATGATGGAATGTCTACGCTACCACCGATGCCAATGGCGGTGTATCCACCTCCGCCGGAGTTCTCCAGCAGTGTGCTGCCGTCGTCGGCGTACGGCAACATCTTCATCTCAGTAGCCGTGAGTCGAGATCCCACTCTAGATGCGTCCAGGTGTCCTGATCTCTTGGACTTGCCCCACAGAGCCAAGCCGGTGTATCATGGCATGGCGACGCTGCCGCGCCGCCCCCAGCACTCGTTCGCTGCACCGAAGTATGATAACATGGGGCCGCGCGTCACCGCCGGCGGCAGTTCGACGCTCTCGCTGCCGGACGCCGATGTCGAGCTGCCACCACCGCCGCCGCCACCCAGCTGCACCGTTGCGCTCACCCCTGACTTTGTCTCCCTCTAAAAGCCAAACTTGTACGCAACTTTTCACACACACACTTTTATTATTTAATATAGGCAACCAAACCAACATCGGTTGCATATGTGTATTCACTGTTGCTGTGTGTTAACCTGCGTGCAAAACTACCCCGGAAACAAACCAATTTAAGATTGTATTTAACAAAACCCCTCTATCTTCTAATTATCTCCCCCAATTTACCATTGAAAATTAAATCGTAAAAACCCTTTATATCTAAACCTTTATACCAAAAAAGAAACCAAAAACCCTTTTGTGGTTCATCTTCAATTAGTGCCTTTGCTCATTATAATATATTTTAATCAAGATATACATATACGATATAAAAATAACGATAAATCAATGATGAAGGAAATTTAATCATTATAATAAATAATATTAACGAGAGCATTCATTCTTTCGGACATGAAAATCGTGTCGTGTCTTGCGAGCGCTGAAAAAAAAATGGAAAACATTTTCACAATGAATTTTCTATTTTGTTGCGAGTTTTTATATTCCACTGTAACGCTAACGAATGCGACAGTTTGAGCAAACAGAGACGGATTTATTTGTTATGTAAACTTTATAAATCAACATAATTTCCTAAAATAATTAAAATTTAAACAACAATGCTTTCTGTGTAGGTATATATGCAACCCAAAAACAGGTCAATGCAAAATATAACAGTATGCAACCAAATAATCTTGTTCGAGCAAAAATTCAATTCAATTTCCATTCATGCAGCAAAATTTCAATTTATTTCATTGCATTTGCACGAGCATGAATTATTTAATTATCCAGTGAATTTTGGGCTATTTTAAACAGCGCCGATAACCACCGATACTAAAAGTTTATTGCGTCATAACTAAAGATAATATAATTTCACAAATAAAATATTTATGCGCGCTGGAAATTTGTAGTAGAAATTTTTGTTAATTAATTAATTCGGCGACAATGACATGTGATACATACTTATGATAGCGCGCCTGCACGCATGATACAACAAACGTTAATTAAGATTAAAATTAGTGTAGTTAGCGCATGATGTATGTCCCATCGCAAGGTTGGCCTAATGATGTCGTTTCGCACAACGCGTTCGGTGACAAATGCTTGCAGGGCGAACAAATGCGCGTCGTAAATCAGCCGGACACAGTCGTGATCACTCATTGGAGACTTTTGCCCAACCTTGAACAGGGGAATTATTGTTAAAGTTGCGGAAATGAACGAAAAACTTACTAAAAAGTAGAAAATTGGTTGATTTACGATAGGCAACCCAATATACATGATACGCTTGTTGCCTACATTCAATAATAATATATTTTTCAGTTTATTTTCTTAAAAAGTATGAAAATAATCAATTTATCTATATTTTACTAATAGGAAAATTTTTACGACGTTGTGCTTTTATAGTTCAAAAATCTCATTACGTTTTACAACTGCAGGCTAATGAATAACATGCTATGCCAAACTAGTACGCAATAAATCCGTCTCTGCACGTACGTGCGCATATAATAATATTCAATTCGAACAAACCGGAATCCGGTGTTTGTTTGTATTGTGCATAAAACTGCTGATATGTTTTCCACGCTTTTTCCACGCTCGCACCACGCGTATAACATATAATCTAATAATCTATTCGTATTTTACATAAATGTACTGTTTTTTTTTCGATCCGATTTCCTATTTTACGACCGAACGTTTTACGATTTTCGCTGGTTAGCAAAAACATGGCGAAAGATTTCAACATTTTGTGTGTGTAAATACGTAAATAATTCCCCGATCAAGAAAAATGCATGAGAAATTAAAGTCTTATTAAGCAAGAGGACGGAAACGAAAGACATTCAATAGATTTAATTTGTTTATAAGAAGATGTGCGAAAATCAAAAAAAATCTGCTATAAAATTACACCCACACCCCACACACACTAAGTTAATTAACTGTATAGGCATAATCAAATATTTGCGGCGCATTTTCCAAGAATTTATCCAAAAAAACAAAAAAATCCCCGCAGAATAAAAAAATCATGGTCGTGATAATATTCATCATGCATTTTTGTGAGGAATGAGGAATGAATGATGATGAGTGTGCGTTGATGATAATGATGATGAAGTGCGACATGCAATTGTACAATATTTAAACATACGCTGCAGATTTGTGAAGTGCGAGACTTGCGTTCACTTGTAATGTTAATTATTGTAAAGTATAACCAACTGCGTGCGTGTTGTGCGCGCGAAGACGAATAAAGACTCTGGATGTCAGTCCACAACCAAGAAATAAACACTAAACTAACAAAAACACAAACCATGCAAGTACATATTATAATTATTATTCTAATTAATTATGATTATTATACATACATTTACGATATTACCATTATTCGATTATGATGCATATTTCTGTTGAATGTATTTATTGTTGATCTGTTAGATAAAGAAATGAATTATAAGGAATAAATTAATGAATTTGTAATTAATCAACTTTTTTCTTGGCGTGATTTTTGTGTTTTTCATGTGCCAACAGAATTAAATTTCAGGTGAAATTAAATTAATAAGTTTTTTAAAGTGTTTAAAAGAGTTAAACCGATAATTTTTAAAAATACGATCGATTGTTGGAAATTCCATTGGATAAATTGGTATGTGTGTGAGTTTCACGCAAGTAAAAAGTAGTTTTCATCTCTTCACATGTTTTCTTTTAATCCAGTTAGCGTGTTTGGTGTGATGAAAAGTTATCCGAACGTGTTAATTAGATTTCGCCGGATATGACCTTTCAACTTGTTTTAATCTGAATGAATTCACACAAATTTTATTACGGAGTTATAAAAGCCTGGGTATCAATGTTTTCACGTGTGATAAATTACGATTTAGGTTGAAATATTCATGTTTTTATTTGAGGTCAATTCTATAATAATTCATCAATTAATTTTTTAAATAAAATAAAGTTAATTGGATGAAAATATGAATTCTGAGTCTTTTGCTACATATATTTTAATAAGAAAATAAAAATAAGAAATAAGACCTAATCTTCTTTGTACATTTAAATGAAAAGTATAATTTGTATTAGTTTTTATATTAGTAATATTAATTGCCAATTATTTTTTTAAAATTCGTTCTATTTTATTTTTTGTAATTTAAAAAAAAAAAATTTTAATTTTTTTTATTTTCATCTTTAAAATGCAAGTTTTTCAAGGTTTTGAGACACAAAGTGGTATTTTACACACGGCCGTGACTAAAGTACTTTATACCACTTGATACTTGATATACTGTTTTTACCAAACATAAAATAACGAATAATTTTGCTTGATTTGTTTCAATTTGCAATTAATTCTGTTTGCATAACAACTTTACCATTTCTCATTACTATCAATGTTACGCCACTCGTATTTTAGGCCCGCACCGATATTTGTCAATTTTACAACTCCAATGACAACCAATTACGCGCGAGTTTTGTGCTTCACTCGTTTTGTTCAGTCGACGCTTCAGCTCCGCTGTAACGCGCCGCAAAACAGCCACCGCTTCATCTCGTTTGCGCACTCGTCGTTTAATTGCATTTAATTAACACATTAACATATTAAATGTCGTCCTGGTTGGCGGCTCGAGTTCGTGTGCGCCGAACTAATTTCACACGTTGCTGCCCACTGATCGTACATCATCTAATTGAGGCATTTCCATCACAAAGTCGGCGGTGGCGGCGGCGCTAATCGATTATAATTTACGAAAACGAAACAATCCGACCGCAAATCGGACAACGCGCTGAAATTGACCAAAACAAAGAAAAACAAAGCGCTGCACAATGAAACAAGTTGAACAACAGAAGCGGGCTGAGAAAACACGCGGTAACTAGAGAGTTAAAGTTATAACTCGTGAGGCGTGAGCGGTTCTAAGCGATTCTTAATGAGCTTCGGGCTGGTTATTGTATTCCGACATTATCGGGAAAAGATTGATGGTCACCCAACACTGGGCAATATGAAATAAATGTGTTTTCAAGAGGGAAATAAGGAAATTACAGCGTTTAGGTTTTAATAGCTTTCGAAACAAAAAAAAAACACCTAAATTGATTTTCATGACATAATTCTGCTTTTTCAAACAATAACAATAAATTCTGGAATTAAAAAAATGACAGGACGTTAGGTTTATCATGTAAAAAGTACTGAGAAATAAGCTTTACTTTAAAAAGCAAAAAAAAATTTTTTTAAAGTTTTTCATGTTTTTTATAGGAAAATAAATATTATTTCAATTAAAACGTCAATATATTCTATAGCAATGATAAATAGTAGTAATACTTTTTCATTATTCAATGTTAACATTCCACTTTTTCCTATTTTGTATTGTCGGAGCGTTTTTGTGTTAATTTTAAGTATTTGAACAGTTGTGCGAATTCACAGCAATGCGCAACGAACGGTTCTGCGCGCGTTATTAATGATGCAAGTGCTGCAAAGTAAATTTGCCCGCTGCAGCAGCAACAGCAGAGGAAATACGGAAGTTGCAGAAGAATAAATATCGCCTGACCTACATGTCGCCGGGCGCTGCGCCATGTCTCCTCTGAGGCGAAACAATTAGCTCTAACTGCGCGAGCTTAATCAACGCGAAAGGAGGATTATCTCTCGCACTACCTTCATAAAGCCCATCACATTCACTCAAGCAATGTATATCTGTTAATATATCTTCTGTAAAGCGAAATAAATGTTGCTTTTAAATTTTATCAGGTCGTATATGATGTTTAAGGCATCAATTTATGTATTTGATGTGATATAATAGCATCAAAGAAGAGGAGATCTCGAGGGTCAGTTCGTCCCGTTGACCTTTGACTTCCGACCGTCGATGATGGTTCGTTACGGTGGAAACTGGAGAGTCTGTCGAAGAGACGTGAAATTCCTCGAAAGCTGATTTTGATTACATGCTATGATTACGAGTGTGTTTACCGAAGTTAAAAGCTACGATAGAACAACATTGAGGTTATGTTTAACCAGGATATTTAATACAACATACAATAATTTATAAATTTACTTTAAAACTGCTTATCTTTTATATTTAACGAATTATTAGATTAAATACTAAAAATTTTAAATTGAAAAAAGCATAGGATTGACTTGCCGTACAAAAATCGAACATACAAAATTATTGTTTAATTTGTAGGTTAGATTCGCACGCTAATAATATTTACAACGAAATTTGAAGCTGGAAGTAATGGCGAGCGTTTTAATGATGGATTTTGCGATGAGAAAAAGTTGAAACGCTTCCGGAGAATAGATTGATGGAACGCAGACGGGAAGAACGCAAACGCTGAAAGCATGAACGCTGCGCGTAATTATTAGGCCGCGTTTCCGGTCCAAGGATATAACATTCAACAGGATGATGGCGAATCCGGTGGCGATCATGATGAATTGTGCGAAACAGAATACTTTCAACGTGCTATCATCCGATGACACATATTAAATATGTACTCGACACAAAGTTAATAAAAGATTTCACAGAACTTATTTGTTTTATTAATGCTTGAGTTGCGGTACAAATACCGAACACAATTTTTTTATTTTTTTAAATTTTTAATTGTTAATTTAAGTTTTCATCATTGGGGACTCCTGGTTTTGATAATGGGAAAAAGTTAAATTAATGCACTCTTGTTCACCACTTAGAATGGATTTACATCCCTCGGTGATTAACGCCGCGCGCGAAATAAAAACAAAAGCGCGTTGGCATTAATTA